TAGCAGGAAGTCTGATGGGTTCTAAGAAGGTAGTGATGTGACCTGGTTTGTGTGTTAGTAAACTCATTCCTAATGCATTGTGGACGGTGCAGAGGAGAGGACGGATGTAGACGCGTGGAGACTGGGAGGGAGTTACTGTGCCAGCCTGCCCGCCCCCTCCTCCTTCCCCCCACCAGGGCAGAGGGTCATCAGCTTGTTCTGTAAAGGCCCAGACAGGCGTTTTCGTTTTGGTTTTGTAGGCTGTAGACTCTACTATGCCGTCCTAGCCTGAAGGCTGCCATAAGCCAGAGCGTGGCCATGTTCCAGCAGGACTTTATCTGCAAACACGGGCTGGCTCTGGCTCTTGGCACAGTGTGCTGACCTGATCCTTAGGGCGTTTGTTAGGAATGGAGGGAAGTGAACGCGTCCCCTCACTGCACCTGGGTGCTGGGTTGTGGGGAGGCTGAGCGAGAAGGCACGGGGAGGTTGGTTTCCAGGTTTCTGGCTTAAACAGTGCTGTGAGGAGTGGGGTGCAGGCGCGGCCCACAGCCTGGCTCACGTGTGGGCATGCAGAGAAGCCTGCATCAATGGGATAAGCATGGGTGGCTGCGGCGTGTGGGGCGAGAGGACAGGGGACAGAGACCGAACCTGCAGCGACTGTAGCGTCGGAGCTGGAGGCAGGAGAGCCAGCGGACGTGCCAAAGAGCACAGAGACACGCTGGGACATGGCCAGGTGGGGAACAGGCTCGGGCAGAAGAGGGGCTCCCTTTGGATTGGGACACGAGCGGTCACTTAGAGCTTGGTTAACAGTTTCAGGGAGTAGGTGGGCTTTCTTTGTTTATGTGTTTGGTGTGGGACTTGGCTCACAGAAGGACAAATTAAAAAATCTAGCTCTTCCTTGAGATTTGAGGTTCAGTTTACAGATGATATTAACTGTTTAAATCTAACTGATATGAGCAGTTACTTTTTTAAAATTAATTTATTTTAATCGGAGGCTAATTACTTTACAATATTGTGGTAGTTTTTGCCATATACCGACATGAATCACTCACAGGTGCTCATGTCTCCACCCAGCCTGCTTCATGCATAGAACTTGCACTGGGCATCTGTTTAACATATGGTAATATACATGTTTCAATGCTTTTCTTTCAAACCATCCCATCCTTGCCTTCTCCCACATAGTCCAAAAGTCTGTTCTTTACATCTCTGTCTCTTTTGCTGTCTTGCATATAGGGTCATCATTACCTTCTTTCTAAATTCCATATATATGCGTTAATATACTGTATTGGTGTTTCTCTTGAGCAATTACTTTTTTTTTTCATTTATTTTTATTAGTTGGAGGCTAATTACTTTACAGTATTGTAGTGCTTTTTGCCATACTTTGACATGAATCAGCCATGGATTTACATGTGTTCCCCATCCCGATCCCCCCTCCCACCTCTCTCCCCATCCCATCCCTCTGGGTCTTCCCAGTGCACCAGCCCTTAGCACCTGTCTCATGCATCCAACCTGGGCTGGCGATCTGTTTCACACTTGATAATATACATGTTTCAATGCTATTCTCTCAGAACATCCCACCCTCGCTTTCTCCCACAGAGTCTACAAGTCTGTTCTATACATCTGAGTCTCTTTTTCTCTTTTGCATATAGGGTTATCATTACCATCTTTCTAAACTCCATATATATGTGTTAGTATACTGTAATGGTCTTTATCTTTCTGGCTTACTTCACTCTGTATAATGGGCTCCAGTTTCATCCATCTCATTAGAACTGATTCAAATGAGTTCTTTTTAATGGCTGAGTAATATTCCATGGTGTATATGTACCACAGCTTCCTTATCCATTCGTCTGCTGATGGGCATCTAGGTTGCTTCCATGTCCTGGCTATTATAAACAGTGCTGCGATGAACATTGGGGTGCACGTGTCTCTTTCAGATCTGGTTTCCTCAGTGTGTATGCCCAGAAGTGGGATTGCTGGGTCATATGGCAGTTCTAATTCCAGTTTTTTAAGAAATCTCCACACTGTTTTCCAAAGCGGCTGTACTAGTTTGCATTCCCACCAACAGTGTAAGAGGTTTCCCTTTGCTCTACACCCTCTCCAGCATTTATTGCTTGTAGACTTTTGGATAGCAGCCATCCTGACTGGCATGTAATGGTACCTCATTGTGGTTTTGATTTGCATTTCTCTGATAATGAGTGATGTTGAGCATCTTTTCATGTGTTTGTTAGCCATCTGTATGTCTTCTTTGAAGAAATGTCTGTTTAGATCTTTGGCCCATTTTTCGATTGGGTCATTTATTTTTCTGGAATTGAGCTGCAGGAGTTGCTTGTATATTTTTGAGATTAATCCTTTGTCTGTTGCTTCATTTGCTATTATTTTCTCCCATTCTGAAGGCTGTCTTTTCACCTTGCTTATAGTTTCCTTTGTTGTGCAAAAGCTTTTACGTTTCATTAGGTCCCATTTGTTTATTTTTGCTTTTATTTCCAATATTCTGGGAGGTGAGTCATAGAGGATCCTGCTGTGATTTATGTCAGAGAGTGTTTTGCCTATGTTCTCCTCTAGGAGTTTTATAGTTTCTGGTCTTACATTTAGATCTTTAATCTGTTTTGAGTTTATTTTTGTGTATGGTGTTAGAAAGTGTTCTAGTTTCATTCTTTTACAAGTGGTTGACCAGTTTTCCCAGCACCACTTGTTAAAGAGGTTGTCTTTTTTCCATTGTATATCCTTGCCTCCTTTGGTCGAAGATAAGGTGTCCATAGGTACATGGATTTATCTCAGGCTTTCTATTTTGTTCCATTGATCTATGTTTCTGTCTTTGTGCCAGTACCATACTGTCTTGATGACTGTGGCTTTGTGGTAGAGCCTGAAGTCAGGCAGGTTGATTCCTCCAGTTCCATTCTTCTTTCTCAAGATTGCTTTGGCTATTTGGGATTTTTTGTATTTCCATACAAATTGTGAAATTATTTGTTCTAGTTCTGTGAAAAATACCATTGGTAGCTTGAGTATTTACTTTTTTTTTTTTCTTTGAGCAATTACTTTTTAAAAGAGCCTTGGCTAAATGTTTGGTCCTATTTACAAGATTGGTTAAGTGAAAGTGAAAGTCGCTCAGTCGTGTCCGACTCTTTGCAACCCCATGGAAAACTATACAGTCCATGGAATTCTCCAGGCCAGAATACTGGAGTGGGTAGCCTTTCCCTTCTCCAGGGGATCTTCCCAACCCAGGGATCAAACCCAGGTCTCCTACATTGCAGGTGGATTCCTTACCAGCTGAGCCACAAGGGAAGCCCAGCTTGGTTCAACCCCTTAACTATTTTTACCACACTTTAAAGTGTGATATGGCATGGTCCCTCAGCATCTTCATGGGGTGGGATCCAGGATCCCCCACAGGGACCACACTCTCAAGAATGCTCACGTTCCTTCCAGTCTGCCTCCCCGGAACTGAGGATCAGCTGTATTTTATTCTCGTTTTGTACATTAATTGCTGAATGACAGTTGAGGTAGTTAGAAACGTATTTTTATATTTTTATATAATATACTTAGATAGTTCTTATAAATCTAACAAATTAAACATAATTGTGGTGATTCTATTTAAAACGAAATTCTCCTGGAGTAAATTGACATGTACCCACAGGTGAGTCAGCCAAGGATGTGGAGAATGCCTTCATGCCTTGCTGAGATTTTCTAGTGTTCTGACCAAGACTGCCAAGCCACGTGCCTTCTTTATAATCACTGTGCCAGACATGTCAGACTCAACAAAAGAGTGAATCCTTTAGATTGACGTGCTGCGCTGCCTGACATTTCTGTGTATTCGCTGTTGCTGCCCCCACCGTCCTACCCAAATGGCCATATGCCTGGATTGACTTTGCATTTCCTTGATATCATCCCATGTGTTAAGATCTTTGAACTTTATGAAATTCTGCTATCTTTTCATATACTTTTGTTTCTTCCATCCACCTCTCTTCTACCTATTAAAAATGATAGCCAGTTGAATGGTGGACCTTCTATGGTTTTGTCACAGCATCTAAGCTCCTTCTACTGATGAGAGCCAGGCATCAGAACCATTCATTGGCTCTGCAGATGATGACTGCAGCTATGAAATTAAAAGACGCTTGCCCCTTGGAAGAAAAGCAATGACCAACCTAGACAGCATATTAAAGAGCAGAGACATTACTTTGCCAACAAAGGTCCATCTAGTCAAAGCTATGGTTTTCCCAGTAGTATGGATGTGAGAGTTGGACTGTAAAGAAAGCTGAGCACCAAAGAATTGATGCTTATGAACTGTGGTGTTGGAGAAGACTCTTGAGAGTCTCTTAGACTGCAAGGAGATCCAGCCGGTCAGTCCTAAAGGAAATCAGTCCTGCATGTACATTGGAAGGACTGATCCTGAAGCTCCAATCTTTGGCCACCCTGACGCGAAGAACTGACTCATTTGAAAAGACCCTGATGCTGGGAAAGATGGAAGGTGGGAGGAGAAGGGGATGACAGAGGATGAGATGGTTGGATGGCATCACCGACTCAATGGACTTTAGTTTGAGCAAGCTCTGGGAGCTGGTGATGGACAGGGAAGCCTGGCTTGCCGCAGTCCATGGGGTTACAAAGAGTTGGACACGACTGAGTGACTGAACTGAGTGAACCTACTTTCAAATAAGAGCAGGCTCCTGTGTTGGAGCAGAATGTTCAGAAAATATAAGAAATGCCAAGCGACAGCATTCCTTTGTATATTTAGAACATATTTATCTGCTTATTGCCATAACAGGAATTTTCATGTTGCCCATGGGAGAGCTTGTGATTTCCATTAGATACAAGCTCAGTGACAGAAGAGATTTTTCTGTTTTATTCACTATTGTCTTCCCAGCAAATAGAATTTTGCCTAACATTTAACAGAGGCTCAAATACATGTTGAATGAATAAAATGAATGAAGAAATCTGATTTCTGATTAAGTGATAGATTGTTTACTGTTGATAGTAGATTGAGACTTTTGCTTCCTTGTAATTTCTTTCCCTCCTTTTTCTTCTTTTAGGCGGAAACCACTAATTCTAGCCTCTTGCAGGTGCAACTGGAATGCAGTTTACATAATAAAGTGTGTCAGAAACTAAAGGTAAAATTAAAAATTTAGTGTTTTTCTTCCTGCCTTCTTGTTTAGAAATAAAAAATAAAACAGCATGTTTATTTGCAGAAATGCATATGCCTTTCCCTTAAGTGCCTCTCCCCCTTAAAATTTGAAATAAAAAAAATTCAGTTGATTTTCCAAGTTTTTCCTTTTTTTCCATCCCTCCAATCTCAGGGTTGTTATATGGAATCGGATGATGTTTTACGGCTGCAGATGAGCATAATCGTAACAATGGAAAACACCTCAAAAGAATTTGAAGAAAACACACAAGATTTGTTAGATCATCTCTCTATTATTTATGTAGCTACAGATAAATCTGAGAGCTCAGGTATGGCAGAATCTTTAAACTTTTCTGTTAAAATATATTTTGATTCACCTGCATCATCTTTCTGTATCATTTACTTAGAGATCACGGATTGCGTTGTTGCGATCCAAGACAGAGATTTTGCTTTCATTGTTAATACACCGCAGTAGTGACTCATTTTCAATGTGCATCTGCTAGTAGGGTGTATTGTTTTACAGTAAATTAAGTGGCAATAGCAAACCATTCTGTGTTTTCCCAAGAAATAATTTTCTTGACATTTTGAAGATGGTGAACAAATTAAATGGGCACTGCAGTCTTAATATAAATATTCACGCAGGATTTTAAGTCTTGTGTCTTGGTTCTGTTTTATGATTTGCAGAAGCTCAGTTGACCAAGTCATGCTGTTTGTATTTTTCATGGTTGATGGTATGTTCCTGTTATGGCTTGATCCTGGATGCCTGACAAGTTAGAGTATTGTAAATTTCAGTGTCCTGTCTATAAATTTCACCTTTGAAATTGTGTGTCCTACGTAGCAAGAATAACCTTGTTTATCAGTTTAAGTTTCTAAGAGATTTTGTAGAGGACATATGGTCCATGAATTTTATCATGTTGGCCTTGCTATTATCCATTGGTTATCAATACTGTTCTGGTACCAATATACAGTCTTACATTGGCAGTCTTAACTGTTGATCAGACACGGTTTGCTTTCCCATCCTCGGAATTGATTATAGTAGTCACAGGCCAGCAGGAGAGCTTTCCTATGCTGGGGTTCCTAGTTTCTGTTGATTCCCAGAATGGCCAAGTGGACATCAGTGTAGAGAAGACTCCTAGAGCATGGGGAGCATTTCTGTTAGTGACGATTCAAGGGAAGCCTGCATCCTGAGATCCAGGGTTTTATTCTTCCCAAGTGTGGTTGTCAAGTAAGGAAATGAGGGGCTGTCTGGTCAGTAGGAGACCTCAGCTTTATTTGAAGCTCTCCAGTTGGGTAGTTTCATCTAAAGGGAGTCGAGTATGACCCTGCACTCAGACTTTTTCTGCTAGTAGTTCATCATTAGAGAGCCTGTGTTGACAGGTCAGTCTTTTTGCCAGAGACCTTTTTCTTGTGACTTCAAAGAATACCCACCAGAAAACAGCTCCTCATTTCAATTTTAATGTTGGAAGATGAGTTGCATTTTTTAATAGAAGTGTGTTGTGTGATATTTTAACTTGTGTTAAAATGTGAGAATGAGATGGCCCTTTGTTTTAGTCTCGTTACTTTGATTCTTTTGAACAGATGATTCGGCAGTGAATATGTATATATTACATTCGGGAAACAGCCTTATATGGATACAGGTAATTTAAATACTTGTGTAAAGTATAGTTTAAACTTACAAGAGTATATTTAAGTACAGAACTTGAGGATTTGCAAGAGAACACTTGTCTCTGTTACCTTTTGCTTCCATTGAAGCCTGTTTTCCCTTGCTTGAGCCCATATTTAGATGAAGCTTGTGTGCACACCTTCGTGCTATTACAGACTAGCACGTGTCATTACCCCTTCTGCTAAACAGTTGCTGTCTATGCCAGTCTAAGCTACTCAGCCGTTTTAACAGGGTTGATTCTACCTGGATCAGCCTCCACCCCGCTAAGAGCAGTATTGTGGATTATTTTTGTTACAGGATGTCCATCATTTCTCCCAGAGAGATGTCCTGTCTCTGCAGTTTGAACCAGTGCTCCTACCTACTTCCACAACGAACTTTACAAAAATTGCTTCTTTTACTTGCAAAGGTACAGATTTAAAAAATGTTGGCGACTGTCTTTTTGTTTTCGTTATTTAGTTCTTGTGACTCTAGTTCTTTCTGTGATGACTCCACTACAGCCTAGGCAAGGCTTTAGGAAGTGAATGGGCTTCATTTCAATTCCACAGCCTTAATAGTTCTAAGAGGTAACCTGATGGAAGAACTGGTGGTGTGCTGCTTTTATGATGCCACGTGAGTAGGGTTTTGAGTTTATAGATCATAGCTCAGTTGGTGTGAAAGGCCAGGTTGTACATGTGTGATGGACGGACTGCTTTTACAGGTAGGGTTGTGCACCCCCAGTTTGGTCTCTTTGTATAGAAGCCATGCAGGATATCTAGTGAGTGTCAACCCAGTCCTATCCTAGTCTCGTTTATAGTTCAGAAGGTTTCTACAAAGGAATGAAATGCAGGTTAAATATCTGAAAACAAGACCCGACTCACTTACATTGAAAGAAATGTTAATTTAAAGCAGTAAGTGAGATATAACTTAGGACTTAGGTCTATGAAGATTAAAAAGATTGTTAGTATTCTGTGTTAGTAATGACTAGAAAGAAAACAACACTGATTTTTTGATATGAGTATAAATTGATACAGGCTATTTGGGAGGGAAAATTGGCAATTTCTCTGAAAACTTAAGATGTGCATGTATGCTCTCTGATCCTGAATTCTACTTCTCTTGGAGTTTATCCTGGGAGTGTATCTTAGGAGAGATACACTTGTATATATTCAGAATTGTAATAACAAAAATATGCATTGTCTGTGGCAACAGAACAGGAGATTGGTTAAATTGTAATTAATCTGCATGGGGATGGGGGACTAGACCTTTTTAGGTATTCAGAATCATACACAGGCGTGCAGTGTCGGCAGGGTGGTTCTCAGGGTCCCTGTGCATTTGCACTAGAAGGATGCTCGGGAGTCTGCTGCCACTTGTTCCCTTGTCTCGGGAAAGGTAGACTGGTATTTTCACATCTTTTTGTTAGTGTTTGAATTTTAGGAGGGGAACATATATTAACATACAGCTATAAAAAAGTCAGGTATTAAAAAAAAAAAAGTCAGGTGTTAGCATCAGAGTTAAGAATTCAGTACCAGTGTGATGGTGTCCTGACCTGGCTCAAGGAACACATATGGGTGATTGATGAATCAGCAGTGTTTTGGCAGCGAGGTCCCACTTTGGTTCTGAGCCTCCTCCGTGATCTTGTTTGACCTGTTCATTTCTGGCTTACACCTCCACACTCATCTCTTCACGCACCCTAGTGGGCTCGACTGTTCACTTTTGTCGTCTCTGCAGACCTCAGGACTTGCCTGTTAGCTCAGATCAGTCGTTCAGTCTTGTCCGACTCTTTGTGACCCCATGAATCGCAACACGCCAGGCCTCCCTGTCCATCAGCAACTCCCGGAGTTTACTCAAACTCATGTCCATTGAGTCGGTGATGCCATCCAACCGTCTCATCCTCTGTCGTCCCCTTCTCCTCCTGCCTTCAATCTTGCCTCTTAAGATCTTTACAAGAGGAGAGCCACAAAGCATTGAGTCTCTCTTTTCCTCCAAAAGAAGAAATGAGAAGTTGGTTTAGCAACGAGAGGTAGTACCGTGTTCTGGGTAACTGACAATCAATCAGTAAGGAGAAAAGATAGTGTTCAAGAAAGGATTTTACCATTTATATCTTATGCACAGTTTTAATGGAGACAAAAGTGTGGAGTAATTAAAATGTTATAAATAAATAAAACAGTTATTTTCATTTGGGCAAATGAAACAAAAGATACTTACTCTTCACCTTTATTTCCTTCTGCCTCCCAACAGCTCCGTCCTGTGACAGCGGGGTGAGAGAAGACAGAAAGAAAAAAAACACTCCAACACTAAAAGCTTGCCTCTCCTCCCCTGTGGTTCAAGGGTGGGTTTCATTCCTCTTTTCCTGGAATTGTTTGGTTCCCTGCCCCAACCCAGCCCAGGGGTGATTTAACAACATAAGTGATACTTGCGTGATTCTCTCCCTGGACTTGCCTTCCCCAAGTTAGCAATGCTAGCAGGCTGTGAAAGGCTGGTTTGCAGGGTGGGAAAGGGGAAGCTGAATGATGGAGGTGGCGGATTGGATCTGGGCCAGGCAGTCGTATGTGGAAGGAGGAAAGCATATTCCCACCACATATCTGAGTTACATTCGGGGCCTGGTTTCTGCCTGGTGGCCTCTGTGAGCTGTCCTGGTGCTGGCCACACTGCACCCTTGGGCCTTCAGATGCTCCGCTTGTGGGCAGGAAGGCTGGAGAAGGCGCTGACATTCATTCTGTGATGCTTTTATGCAACAATTGTGTTTTGTTTAGGTTAGGTTAGGGTTATATGTGACTGTTGTCTTACAGTTAGAGGCTCATTCTCACCCTTAGGGTTGTCTCTACCACGGCACTGATGGCATGCCTGGCCTGTGTTCACAGGTATTTTCGAATGGACCCTTCTGCAACCCACTTTCACATAGAGAATCACGAGAATGCTTCAGGGCTTTGGTCAATGTGGTACCTCAACCATTTTGACCATGGTGTTGTATTAAATGATGTGTTTGTTTCCAAGGAGACCAAGCACATTTTAAAGGTACATATGGTATTTTTATTCAAGTTTTAGCCTATTTTAAGCTTTGTTTAAGGTCAAATACTATGAAATTAATTTTTTATAGAAACCTTTCATTTACAAATTTTAAAGCAAGTATGTTTCTTTTAACATTTTCAGAATTACTTTTAGGCTCTCTTTATTTTTTCAAACTATCGTTCAAAGAGCTCAAAGGGACCAGGATATATCCCATTAGAGATATTTGTTATTACCATTATTTAAAAATACTGTAAATTATAATTTATCCTAAGAAAATTACATTTAGTAAAAATAAGCCTCATTCATGATAAAATAGTAGGTTTTGGTAAAATACCGGCTATGAACATGTCAAGATTACTTTTGTGAAATTTAAAAACAGTTGCATGTTAAATATTAAATCTATTATTTATAGAAAAATATGTCAGTATTTGACCTGGAAATAATTGAGTAACATTTTATTTCTCAAAGTATAGAAGAACTTTAGTATCACACAGTATGATGATTTTAATCATAATTAGCATTAGTTAGGAAAGTAATTTCTCTTACTTCTTTTCTTTTTAGATTCTGAATTTCACTGGCCCTTTATTTCTACCTCCAGGCTGTTGGAAAATATTTTCTTTGAAACTTGCTGTTAAAGACAGTGCCATAAATCTATTCACCCATGTATTTTTGACTACAAACATAGGTGCTGTTTTTGCAATACCTCTTCAGATTTACTCACCGCCCACCAAGGTATTGTTTACACACTCCATATGTGTTATAACTTTTGTAATAATTACTATTTCTTCTTATTAGCTTACCTTATGGTGCTTGGATTTTGTTGATGCAGTTGACCTCATATTTTCTAAGGCTGTCTAAGAAATTAATGGATATTACCAGGCCAGTCTTAGATGATAAATTGTTTAGTATGGAAATCTACTTGAAAACAGCTTCTAGTTTTCATAAAGTAATACATGAAGTAATTTTCAAGTGAAGTAAGGCATTACAAGTCAATAGATCTCATTTTCACTTATTTCCAAAATGAGCAAGGAATATGTGCTTGCTATAGTAAACACATTTGTGCCATTAGCACATATTTGCAGTGATTTCAAATAAACTAAATTGTTAAATGCTTTATTTAGACCTCTGGTAAGTGACACTCAGCTGCTCATAATCCTTGAATTTCCTTAGTGGGCCATAATCTAAAGCCTGAAGGGGTTCGCGATTAAGCAAATACTTTCTAAAGTCTTTGTATATATTGTATTTAATTTAGGTCTTATCTTAAACATGTCTCATTTTTTCTTAATGTTTATTTCCTTTCATTTAGTTACTGTTATTGCTTCTTTTTGATCCAAGCTCTTCTGTATAATGCTGGGTTCTGATTTTTCACTATGAGACATTCATACAACCATCTTTATGATTTTTCTCACTTATTAGCATTGGTGTTTCATAGATCGAAGTGCCTCATGTTTTGCTAAAAACTTAAATTAGGGCTTCTAAAAGTATGCTAAACAAAATGTAAGGTTAATTTTATTAATCCATATTTTGAGTAGGGGAGGTTTCTTAGAAATTTCCTTTTTCCATCAAGGGCTGCATATGAGAAGAGTGACTGGGAGGGAGCAGGCAGGCTGCAGGCATGTGTGGAAGAGGCGATCTGTGCTTTCCCAACTTAGGAAGTGGGACTTTCATTTAAATGTCCTGAACAGCTTAGGAGTTATGATGGATTAGACTACAGTGTTTTAGAAACCCTGCTGAGAATATCCTGAGACTAATTTAATCTTTAATTTAGAAGGCAGCTTGGTGTCTGTAGGGCCCTGGGGGTGTCGCTGTGGGTGTTGATTATTGCACAGAATCCACTGTAGTTTCCCTGCTGTGAGAGACAGTCAGAGCTCTCAATCAAGGAGAAAGAAGGCCAAGAAATCACTTCCTAGTTGTTTGGCTTCTGGTTAAAGGGAAGTTCGTGGAGGTGGAGGCCCATGTCTGCTATGCGTTTGAGTGCATTAGGATTTTTGTGTTGAGTGTTGTGTTTTAAGTTATTCATATATTACTTTTCAATCTAGGAAGGGAGTCTGGGTTTTGAAGTGATAGCACATTGTGGCATGCATTATTTCATGGGAAAATCAAAAGCAGGTAAGTATTTTGCCCTTAGGCTTTCTGTAGAACTCTAGTTTTGGGTGGGGTGGGAGGTAGTGAGGAAAATTCACATTTGTAGATGGAATAATTAGTCCTTTAACATCATTGCATCATATTCTATTCTTTAAGAGCATGATCATTAACCGAATGACTTGAAATTATTAAGAATCCTCCAGAACCATCTGAGGTGCCTGTGTAATTAACGCCCCCTTAAGTCTTAATCTCCACTTCTGTAAGGGATTTTTTCAAACTCGATGTTTGATCATCATAGCAACCTTATCGCCAGGAACAATTGGACTCTGATTCTTTTATAAAAGGGCTGACTAGAAGTTAGTAAAATAATAATAATAATAACAATTTGAAATTGTGTTTGAGGAGAGTATAAGCATCTTATAGGGAGCACTCATTGTTGTGTGAGACTGGAGGCCCGGGTGTCGAGAAAGCTGTTCCAAGTTCCCTTCCTGCCTGTTGACTTATTAAAATATATAACCTAGGGAGAGAGTTAGAGCACAGCGGTTTCCTTTGGATGACTCCCACTTTCCCACCCTTGTCTTCTAGCACAGACAAGGCAGGCAGGCCAGCAGACAGGGCCAGCTCGTGAGTGTAAACACGTGCCTTTGGGCTGAGCCCTGCTCACAGCCGTCGCCTCTGGGCTGCCGCCTGTTTGCGCGTTGGCCTTCTGAAGCCTGGTGACCCAGCTCAGAGACGTCTAGCACTGATGTGACGCAGTTGAGCCTTTTAGATTTAAAGCTGTTGAACATGGTCTGAGTATGATTTTTACCTTGTTTCAGGCTGTATTCATGAGCCATGTGTCTTTTATGTTACTATCTTCACATAATTCGATTTAGTTTTGTTTTATACATGTTTCTTTGATTTGATATCTCATTTGCCATTGAATTAGAGGGACTTGTAGTAAAGCAATTAGCGGACAGGAGTCACTGATCACTCTACTGTCCTCTGGGTTTGAGAAGTTTTAGCCCTCAACCCTTGGCATTATTTACCAAGTGAATTATGTTTCCTGTGCATCTAAACAGTAAGTCTGATCTAACTTGTAGAAAATCCTAACTGGGAAGGGAGCCTTTCTCTGGATCAGTCTACCTGGGATGTGGATTCCGAACTTGCAAATACATTATATGAAAGATGGAAGAAATTAAAACATGGTGACGTCTGCAAGTATGTTTTCACCTCTCTTTGTTTCTTTTATTCAGCACTGGGGGGACACTTTAACATAATCTTTGTTGAAATTTCAATACTGAATTTTTAATATCCAGCCTTTATTTTGACAAATTTCAAACCTCAGAAGAGTTGAAAAGTATAGTATGATGAGTACTCACATATTCCTAATTTGGACTCAGCAGATGTTTACATCATACCACTTTTGCTTTTTCTCTCTCCATCTGTGTCTATGTGCACACACACATATTGAAAGTAAGCTGTAGATACCATGATACTTCAACCCTTAGTACTTTATTAGGAAAGACTTTCTTTTCTGAGGAACATTCTCCTGCATATAACTACACTGTCATTACATACCCAAGAAACTTAACACTGATGCAGTTATTACTAATAAACAGTCCAGATTCACATTTCCCTAGTGTGAAAGTGAAAGTGTTAGTCGCTTAGTCAGGTCCAACTCTTTGTGACCCCATGGACTGTAGCTTCCCAAGTTCCTCTGTCCCTGGAATTCTCCGAAAGAATACTGGAGTGGATAGCTCTTCCTTTCTCCAAGCGATCTTCCCAACCCAGGGTTTGAACCCAGGTCTCCCACGTTGCATGTGGATTCTTTACCATCTGAACCCAGAAAAGCCCCTAGTTGACCCCAAAATATCCATTATAGCTGTCTTTTCCTTTTTTTAAAAATCCAGGATGCATTCAAGGATCATGCACTGTATTTAGTCATCATGTTTCCTTAATTTTCTTTAGTGCCCCCACCTTTCCTCATCTTTCATAGTGTAATGTTTTAAAGCATCATAGCCAGCTGTCTTATGGAACATTCAACACTCTGGATTTTTTGGGATTGCTTTTTCAGGTTTGCATTCCTGTTAAACATTTTGGGGAAGAGTACTAATTACTTGGTTGCTCTTGTGTCCTTACCATTGCGTCACCTGAGGAGGGACATAAATATCAATTTGCCCCATTATTGACATTGTTTGGTTGAGTCATTTGACTCTCTCCATTGTAGACTATGTTTTTTGTTTTACAATTAATAAATAATATGTGCTATAATAGTTTGAGTCTGTACACATTGCCTGTTCTCTGAGGACGTTTCACCATAGGATTTTGGCTCCCACTGATAATCATTGCCTGAGATCAGTTATTGATTGATGGCTGCAAAAGTGGTGATATTGCTAATTATTTTGTTCATTCTACACTCTTGAGCATCACCATGAATTCTTTGGTCATTACCATCATTAGCATCATTATTATTTTTGATGTCGATTTGTGCCGGATTTGGCTGATGGGAGCCCATTGAAGTTAGCTTTTGGATCTTTGGTGTGTACCCATCATTCTTTGAGCAATTCCTTGCTTTCTAGTAAGACAGGATGTTCCAAGATCTTGTACTTTGCCTTCCCCATACCCTGAATAGGCTTTCCAGGTGGCTCAGTGGTTAAGAATCCACCTGCAATACAGGAGAGGCAGGTTTGATCCCTGGGTTGGGAAGATCCTCTGGAGGAGGGCATGGCAACCCACTCCAGTATTCTTGCCTGGGAAATCCTGTGGACAGAGGAGCCTGGCAGACTACAGTCCACAGGGTCGCAAAGAGTTGGACACGACTGAAGTGACTGAGCATGCACGCATACCCTGAATAAGCCATTTTTTCCCAAGGGCCTCTTGTTCCTTTTAGTTGGAGTGATATTTAGTGATTTCTTTTTTATATGTCAAAATTATTTCCTGTAATTTCTTTCTTTACCAATTTTGCAGGAGGACTGTTTTGGGAGTGACTCGGTTTGCCCATTCAAAGAAACCCAAGGAGTTGGAGCCTTTTGCTGTCTTCCTGCCTCGTCTGGTCCCCGAGCCTGGCCTTGTGTTGAACTTCAGCGCCACCGCCCTGAGGAATAGCATGGTGAGCCTCCCACGTCTTCTCATTTCTTCGTCTGTGAGACCTCGGCTCTTGAGTGTTCACGTTAACCAAGTATTTCCACCTTGGGATACTGTTCCAGAGTCAGAGTTAGTTGAAATTTAAGTGACACATGTTTGCCATTCAGTGCTTTTAGGAGGGAGGTGTCAGAAGAACAAAATAAGGAATAAACTCATGAACAGACTGAAGTGCTTTAAGCAGGTACGTGTTATGGAGTCGTGTGTTCAGTTCAGAATCCACCAGCTAAGACAGTATTCAGCTGCAGCCGCGGAGGGGATCTTGGCTGACACAGGCTTCCGTAGCAGTGAGTGGGTTTGCAGCTCAGAAGGGAGAGGCGTCTGTCTGTCTCTTGTTCCATCCTCAGCTCTCTTCCTGCGTGGAAGCTTCTCCTGAGCTGAGTGGCGGGAGGGGGGCAGACGGAAGGCACTGACGCCAGCCTTGAGGCTTCATCTGGAAAGTCTGCTTACCTGAGAGCCGGGTCACTGTGATCCGAGTGATAGTTTATGCTTCCTCAGCACTCGTTGAGCTTCTTACAGAGGACCTCCTGAGACTGCTGTTTAATAACATTTTATTTTTAAAAAGTTCAACTTATAGAAGAGTTTCACGAGCAGTACCAAGAACTCCCAGGTGCCCTTCATGCAGATTTGTCTCTTTTTAACATTTGCTGTGCTTGGCTTGCTGTTTCCCGTCTCTTTCCACACGTGTGTTTTTATCAGCCATGAGAGACGGTCAGGCATGATGCCCCGACTCCACTTCCATGTGAATTTCTTAAGAATGAGACATCTTCCTACATATCAGAGTCTAACTGTCAAAGCCAGAAGATGTGAACATCAAGCACAGCGGTTTTGTCTGATCCGCAGTCTCCGAACAGTTCCCACTTGTCCCACTCACACACGTCCGTTACACCTCCAGCCCAGGGCTTCTCCTTGCCCGGCCCGGTGGCCTGTGTGTCCTCCTGTCCTCGCAGCTCCTCCACCGCAGGTTGCGCGGCTCTTACGACGCGTGCAGGCCGTTCACGCTCTAGACCGTTCCTGGAATGGCCTAGGTGATGGTTCCTGGTGAGAGGCAGGTGATGAGTCTTTGCACCTGCGTCTCAGGGGTGCTGTCCTTCTCCGGAACTGACTCTCCTTCCCGCACGTCTAGGTGAAGCACTTCATGGTGAAGAACCCCTCCTCGTGGCCAGTGTCCCTGCAGCTCCTGCCCGTCTATTTGTACCCGAAGCCTGAGGCCGCCGCGCGCCTGCTGCACAAATGGTAACGCCCAGCCGGTGAAGACCCCTCACGGGGGGGTTGCTGGGAGCAGTTGATAGGGCCTGTCCTGTTAAGACCCGCAGCTGTTCAGCGTCCTCTGCATTTCCCCCAGTTCTGTGCGTGGATGTGCATGGGCTCAGCCATGGCGCCGACCCCGCCCCTCCATGCGGACCCGATGGCACGCGCCATCCCGTGTGCTGTGTGGCTCTTCAGTGTCCTGGCTCAAGTGCAGGGCCCGACAGAGCATTCTTTTCTCGTCAGGGAAGCTTTCCCGTCATGATTTTTCACACTCCTCAAATTTAGACCTGGAATCCGTGACCCCTGGGCAACGCAAGCAGAGAGTTTAGTGGAGGTTCAGTATATCTTAGCCTAGTGTTGTGGTACAGGTGAGATCAGAATTTGTATCTGTTAATCTAATCTTTGTACAGAAGTCATGGTTTCACTTAGAACATTTCCCCTTCTGGCTTAGTGATGCCTCATCCCCATGTCTCAGCTTCAGCACTGCCAGTGTTTTGGGCACTGACTCTGTTTGATGAGAGACGTGTTTGATGAGATGTGTTCCGTGCTTTGGAGGTTGTTCAGCAGCATCCCTAGCTTCCACCCAATAGATTCCAGTAGACTTCACCAGCCTGGGCAATCAAAAGTGTCTCTAGGTGTGGGCAGATGGCCACTGGGAGATAGCATTCTCCTTGGTTGAGAGTCACCTCCTGTCAGGTTCCACAGCTTTGAACCTTTGGAAGAAAAGAATTGCTTCAGATGGAGCTTTTGTCACCATAGGTTTCTTTGCATTCTCTGCTGCCAACATTATTCATTCCACAATGTTTACTGTGTTCTTAAAGCGTGCCAGGTACTGTGTGGGGAGCTGGGCACAGGAGTGACAGGTCGGGGTGCACTGGGTATGTGTAAAAATACACACGTATGTTTATATGTGTGTGTGTATGCACACATATGTTCTTTCTTGGTGATCTGAATGCTATTTTAAATGTCTTTTTTTTTCTTTATAGGTTTGGCACCGATATGCAAATGATTAATTTCACAACCAGTGAATTCCAGCTTACCAAAGCTTGCCCTTACCTGGTAGGATGTCATCTTTAAACAGAGAAAAGAATGCTGACAAACTTGACTCCTAGCATATGGGCCTCACTGATTTATGTTTCAAGTGGCTTTTCATAACATACGTGTCTCTCTATTTTTATATTCTAGGAGTTAAGTATACATAGCAGCTTTTTCCAATTAAGTACTACAGCAGGAGCCCAGGGTTCATGTGAGCCTGTAAATCATTTTAATTTGATTATTTAGATTCATGTGAGTGAAGAAATAACAATTGAATCAGACCTCTGTAGAAAACTGTAAAACTTGAGACCCCAGAATTTATAATTCTCTTAAAATTCCTTAGCCACATCAAATTCTTTTTGGGGCAAGATAAAAGTAAACCCTGGTTGTGTTTTTTTAAAGTCTTACTAAGCTGACTTCATGTTTTTAGCAGATAACCCAATTTCTGTGATATTGACCTGATCTATATAAAAGGATTTCTCTGAAATTCTTGCACCTCTGGGCCCTCATGAGGTCTTGCATAAGTACTCTGGAGAGGGAGTAAGTAATAAGCATGTCGCATGGCGAGGACGTCACTTGCCTGGAAACTGAGTTTTCACGCAGTCCTTCTGTGGGTCCCTGGTGTAGCTGAGTATTTTACTTACGGGTATTCTGTGCTTGGGGCTTCCCTGGTAGCTCAGCTGGTAAAGAATCCATGTGCAATGCAGGAGATCCCGGGTCGGGAAGATCCCCTGGAGAAGGGCAAAACAACCCACTCCAGTATTCTTGCCTGGAGAATCCCCTGGACAGAGGAGCCTGGCGGGCTACAGTCCACAGGGTCGCAAAGAGTCAGACACGACTGAGCGCCTAGGCACAGCACAGCACGGCATTCTGTGCTGGAGGTCAATTAAAAAATGAAGCCTCTCCTACAAAAATACAAACACATGTAGACACACCTGTGCACATCACTGTATTTTTAATGCACGCACATATTTAAATGTCATAGATGTTTTTTCTTCTTTATCTACTCATGACCCTCCAAAGATACGCTGTTGGCTCTAGAATAATTTGGAAGAAGGAGGCCACAGATAAGCTCCAGTGTGAGTTAAAACAGAATGAATCAAAGCAAAGCTTTAAATGGATTTTTAGCAGGGACTTATCTGCAGTAAGAGGCACGCAACAGTAGTGCTCCTTTCCTTTGTCAGTGGTCCAGGCAGCGGAGTCCTGTGCTATTGGGCTGGTCCTGCTTTTTGCCCGTCCACCCAGGCAGCTTCCCAGGAGTGCTGGGAGGTGAAACTAGTGAGTCCTCTATGCTAACAGATATTTCGCCCCACGACCATTTCATCGTATGTAATTTGAAATTCCAAAAATGATGCCCATTTCTTTTACATGTTCGTATTCTATTCAGACTTAAGCAAATGGTGCAACTCACTTGGAAAAGGTCTTTAACCTGTGATTGAAGATTTTCCATAGGTTATTATACTTTTTGTGACAAAGGAAATTATCACCATTGTTAATTTATTACATTTACAAAAAGGGATAGTATCAGTGTTCCTTTCTTTCAAAAACTTAAATTGGAGGATAATCGTTTTACAATGTTGTGTTGCTTTCTGCCATACAACAGTGTGAGTCAGTGATGAGGATACATATATCCCCTCCCTCCTGAGCAGTATCAGTGCTTTTGACACCCAAGTTTAACTTAAAATTCTTAATAGAATCATTTGTTGTTTAAGAAAGGCCTGCATTTTTTTTGTTGTTGGTTTGTTTTTAGAAATGTAGCTCCTTTGGTTAAGAGCATGTGGAATTGGACATTCAACGTTCCAAATCCAGGCTCCTCTATGTGGTCCTGGGTAAATAATTTAGCCTCTCCAAGTCTCCTCTTTCTTACTTATAGTGATGTTTGAAAATTTCATAGTTTTATAGAATGCTTAGCATTTTATATACCTAATTATAGTCCAGTGCCTGGCATATAAGAATTAGTTAATAGTTAGTGCATTGTTCTTATACTTTTAATACTTAAATTGGCAGCTTTTTTCAGTATCCATATGTGTATAAAGCAGAATTCCTCCCTTCATGAAGTTTATAATTTTAATGAAAATGAATCAAATGCCATTACTGTTTCTTCTTTCAGATAGTATGGGAAATGCTAGTAATAACTGAGGGATAAAACAAATTCAAAAACTAAAAATACAGAAGAGAGATATTAGGCAGATTACATGGTTATAGCTCTGAAAATTAATAAATTTCTTTTAGTGAGAAAGAGCTAGGAAAAAACAATGGAAAGAGGGAAAGTCTATCACAATAATGAAGAACTAAATCTTGAATGTTAAATTTAGAATGCAGTTTATTCAGGAGGATGTGAATAAATAGGTTGTTCTCCTGAATGGAGAGACTAAATGTAATAAAGATGGTTTCTTTTTAAACAATAATGCAGGGAATTTAGGGTTGCCCAGCAGTGGGAAGTGCTTGGGTCAGATCCCTGTAGCGTTCAGGCGGAGGCTGTTGTCTGTTTTCCTGGTGATGTTTTACATTCAGGTGAGCTCTCTGATAAAGGTCTGCAGCCCCAGCTCCCATCCGATGCAGGAGGCCCAGCCCCTTTCCAGCATCCACTTTGGCCTGTCCTGCAGCCTCTGTCTCTGCTTCCCAGTTGCGCTCAGCAACTGTTGATGGGCGTGAACTGTCATGATAGACACGTTCCACAGGTTGATTTGGATGGTCAGATCCCGACATTAAAGAAGCAGCGGTCATGTTTATGCATTTAATGAAGATGGAGTCTTGCTCTCCATACGTTAATTGCATTTATTAATAACTTTCAGGATGTGCAGTCTGAAGAATCCAGATTTGGCATCCTCCACTTACATTTGCAGCCTTTGGAAAGGAAAAGGGTTGGTGTAGTGTTCACTCCAGCTGATTATGGAAAAGTCAGCTCCCTCATCCTCATCCGGTAGGTGTGTCTGTGTTGCTTTCTTGTTGACTGATTCTTGGCCCCCAGTGATGAGCTATGTCTCAGGACAGGAAAGGCAGTGGCTGAGGACAGCAGCTTCCCAAAGTTCCACATTCAGTCTCCCTGGGTGTCAGGCTCCTCCCTGGTACCAGGGAGAACGTGTGTTCTCCCTTCACACAGCATCTCACCCACCATCACAGAGGGCAGAACACACACACACATGAACACACACACGTCCGCACTTTTCTTTCCTCAGCTCAGAAGAATGATTGAAGCACTGCTGTATACATTTTCACTCCTCAGTGTTTGGATTTATACCAGTATCATACCCATTTGTCTTCTGTACTTCTTGGTAGCACCAGAAGATAATGAAAAAAGTGCCTAGTTGAGCCCACTGGCTCTTTTTATTTGCCAGCTGATTTAAGCAGCTACATGTTTCTCATTCTTGAAGTTTTTTCCTCTTTAGTCTTTATTGAGAGTCTTGTTTCAAAAATTTACAGTAAATATAGATCTATATTGAACCTCTCTCTGCATTGGTGAGATGTCTAATACAAATTTAATTTTTCATTAATGATGTTTTAGATATTTTTTTATCTTATGTTTTATTTTGGCCACACCACGCAGCATGAGGGATATCTTAGTTCCTTGATCAGGGGTTAAACCTGTGCCCCGCCCCTGCAGTGGAAGCGTGGAGTCCCAACCTTAGACTTTCTTATTCTGGACTTTCTTTAATATATAAGTTTATTCTTCTGCAAGTGAATGCTACTAAAAAGAAAATGCACTAAAATAAAGTTCTTAAAAGATTCTGTTTTAAGCATTTTAACTAATGCTTAGGGCTTCCCTGGTAGCTCAGTTGGTAAAGACTCTGCCTGCAGTGCGGGAGACCCCAGTTTGATTCCTGGGTCGGGAGTACCCGCTGGAGAAGGGATGGGCTGCCCACCCTGGTGTTCTTGGGCCTCCCTGTGGCTCAGCTGGTGAAGAATCTGCCTGCAGTGCGGGAGACCTGGGTTATCCCGAGGTTGGGAAGATTCCCTGGAGAAGGGAAAGGCCAGTCACTCCAGTATTCTGGCCTGGAGAATTCCATGGATAGTTTAGTCCTGCTGCTGCTGCTAAGTTACTTCAGTCGTGTCCGACTGTGTGTGACCCCATAGACGGCAGCCCACCAGGCTCCCCTGTCCCTGGGATTCTCCAGGCAAGAACCTGGAGTGGGTTGCCATTTCCTTCTCCAGTGCATGAAAGTGAAAAGTGAAAGTGAAGTTGCTCAGCTGTGTCCAACCCTTAGCGACCCCATGGACTGCGGCCCACCATGCTCCATGGGATTTTCCAGGCAAGATTACTGGAATGGGGTGCCATTGCCTTCTCTGACTGTATAGTCCATGGAGTTGCAAAGAGTCGGACACGACTGAGTGACTTTCACTGTCACTCAACTAATGCTTAGTGGAACGGGTAACTGATGTTCTAGTAAGCACTTTAGTGCTCTGTGACAGGTGTTTCACTTTAAACTCATTCTCTGTTGAAGAACTAAGGTCATGGAAAGTGTAGAGTTAAACTTTACCTTATCCCAGCTTCAACTATCCCAGACTTGAAAGTCTCCGCTTTTTATAGTGGCTAATTTATTCTTGGTACTTTCTGTATTGAGAGACACAGTATTTTTCTGTAAACAGTATCAATCATCCAACATCACTTAAAGGCTTTTAAATGGTTCAGTAAAGGCTTTAGTCCTTTAGATGAAGATGTAGATACCTCAGTGTGTTTTGTATAACTAGGAATGAATTCTCTGTCTGCTTCTACTGTTTACATTAATGATAATTGCCTTTCAGTATAGTCTGCATCATTTAAACATCATTTCCACTTCTCCATCCTAGGAATCATGATTTCAGTTAATGGAAAGGCAAAAGCTAATCTGACTTACTGTTTGATTAATAAGAACTTGAGTAGATACTTGCTATTTGAAGGCTGCTCTTTTAAGTCTTTGGTTTAAAAGACAGGGTAGCATTTCATTTCTAGAAATATCCCTAAGGAAGAATTGCTTATAGTCACAATTACTGTAGAAACTTCTTAATTCACCCTGTGAACAGTTTTATCAGTTTCTCTACACTTACTAGTATTTTTCTGTGGCTCCCAGTTTGCTCACTTTTGTCACTTGAATGTCTGATCACCATCCTGGTGCCTGGTTAGAAAACTACGGGTTTCCATTCTTGGGTGGAAATTGGAGAGTGATCATGGTCATTTGCTCATTTTTGCCCAATTGGCTTGCCTTGACTCTGGTGCGTTTAGTGGCCTCTCTGCTCCGAGATGGAGGGAGATGCCATACTATTTAAGTTGATTTTTCCCCAAAACTTTAGAAATTTTTTTTGCTAATTAGGAATATTTAAATTCAAGGGCCTTGTATCCTGTAACTCTCCTGCGTTGCCTTTTTGTTTGCATCTGCTCTCTCTGTAGGAATAACTTGACTGTTATCGACATGATTGGTGTGGAAGGATTCGGGGCGAGAGAGCTCCTGAAAGTGGGTGGAAGACTGCCTGGCGCCGGGGGCTCGCTGCGGTTTAAGGTGCCCGAGTCCACGCTGATGGACTGCCGGCGACGTGAGTCTGCGCGTGTGCAGTCTGTGTGCACGGCGCTCGGGAAGGGGGGCTGGGTGCTGACGCCGAGAGCAAAAGGTGCTTATCAGAGTCTTTAACAGTTTACAGTAATTCATTGTACGGATGCAAGTAATTAGATCAGGCAGGTATTTGAGCATATGTAGTCTGGTACCACTTGGTTATAAAACAATAGTTTAGATGTTTAACCCAGCTTAAATAATAGATAGTGGGAGGGGGGAGTATAATGTTAAGTTTCCAATAGCGTTAAAATATAAGCCCAATCGTAGGAAACTATTTAGAGACCCACACCAATGTAAGCGGAGAGAGGCTTCAGGGAGCGCTGACCGATAGTCCCTTGCACATTGTGCAGTGACGGAAATGCTCTCTGTGTTGTCCAATGTGGCACCCGCATGCCACACATGGGTGAGGAGTGCTTAAAGTAGAGCTCGCGGGACCGAGAAACTCAGTGTTTAAGTTGGTTTAAAGTGGCCGTATGTGTCTGGTGGCAACTGTGTCAGGCTGTGCAGATTTAGAAATTTAGTTAAGTGTTCCATTAGAAATTTATAAATTTGCGTGTATTTAAATTACATACTTCTAAAGTACTTACATTAGTTTCCAGAACTTCCTCAGGAACTGAGACAAAAGTCAAACTGTAGATATAAAATGTTCTTGGTGAATTCTGTCTTGTTTTCCTACTACTATTTTTAATTTCAGAACACACTGAAAGTATTTTAGTGTAACAGTATATTTCCCACGGAGAAAAGTGATTGGTGAAACCACTGGATAACTTGTAGAACTATCTTAATGCCTGTTTGGATTTTTGTCAAATGAGCACTGTCTGAAAAGATTAGCCATTTTGCATTCAAAATCTTCATCAGAGTGTTCTTTAAATCATTCCTTCACTTACTCATTGAATAGTTTAGAGTTGACCTTAAAAGCTCGAATTAAGGAGGAATATAAAATCTGTGGAACCAGATAAAATGTTAGTCCTAATATGGAATAGATTGTAGATTATGAATATACAGGAATATTTTACAAATTGATACTTCCTCCCTTTTTAAATGCCCAGTATGAAATGTGCTCTCATTTATTTGCAAAGATTTTGCTGCTTCCTGCCCCTCACGTAATGAGAGTTTGAACCATATTTCTCGTGTCTATGATGCGTTTACGCAGAAGCACACACCCTCCTGAGTATTGGGTGTGAAAGGATCCTGGGTGCCTGGTGGCTCGTGGTAAATCCAAACTCGGAGGCTCCTGAGAAGAATGAAATTTTCCACCTTAACCTTTAATAAATAAAAGAACAGAAGAGGCTTTGGTTACTTTTGGTACCTAGGCAGGTCATTTAACTTAAGAAAAATCTTAATGAGTTATGTATTTTTATCTTATCTTGGTAATATAGCAGCATCTAGAACTGTTCTAGAAATTAGTTAGGAATCTTGCTTTGAGCTTATATTGAATTTTTCTGCGTTTTAGTCATGTAGATCATAGTGTGTGAATTCTGTACATGTTGATTCAGGAAATTATTTTAAATAAATTTTGCAGTTCATGTGTACTAAAATCTCTGTTTCCATCCTCACTAGAACTGAAAGACAGCAAGCAAATTTTGTCAATCACAAAGAGCTTTAAGGTTGAGAATATTGGACCACTTCCTATAACTGTGACAGCTCTGAAAATTAATGGGTATAACTGTCAAGGTTATGGATTCGAAGTGCTGGACTGTCATCAATTTTCCTTGGGCCCCAACACGTCCCGGGACATCAGCATTGTGTAAGCACTGGGTTTCGACTTCATTTTGGGGGTGTGTTTACTGTGTTGTGGGGAAAAACCTTTTGTCACTGGTAAGGCTGTCTTAAGCTGTTCCCATGTACATAGCTGTCTTGTGGAGGTGAGAACTTCTGCTGTCACTGTGACTGTCTTGTCTTGCGCCTAAAGTGAGAACCATCGGGACCTCACAAAGATGCCTCTTGCTGTCAGGTTTACCCCGGACTTCACGTCTTCCTGGGTCATCCGCGAGCTGACTCTGGTCACGGCGGCGGGCCTGGAGTTCCGCTTCACTCTCAATGTGACCCTGCCGCACCACCTGCTGCCTCTGTGTGCGGACGTGGTCCCGGGCCCGAGCTGGGAGGAGTCGTTCTGGAGGCTCACCGTCTTCTTCGTTAGGTAGGCCGCCCTGCTCCTCTGCTCCTCCTCTCCAAGGGGGACGCTGTCAGCTGAGCCGTGTGGGAGTGGGTGCTGCCTGGCAGGTCTCAGCACGGGGACTGAGTGGGTCACGCTGCTCTGAGAACGCTGACAGGAACTAGACGAAGTGGTCCCTGGTGAGCTGAGAGGGAGCAGAGAGCTCTGTGCCGGGGAGCTCGAGGATCTGAGAGTGTAACAGACCGTTGCGCTCATGTATGTTCATTGGCGGTCCCAGGGGAGGGTATAGATGTTGTCTATAACATTTAAGATATATGAACATCACCTATGGTATATGTGGTATATGGTGTTATTAGCTTAGGGCACTGGCAGTTTGAGATTAGAAGACTAGAATGACCCTTTTGGATGTGATTTTTATCCTGGAAAAATCTATAAGAATTGAATTGAAATGTCAGACTGATAAATATTCACCTGTTTAGAAATTTTGCTTTTTGAAATTTTGAGACATCAGAAATTTTAATGTTGTACATCTTGTAGAGTCTGAATAGTGTCTCTTTAGACCTTGCCCGCCACTCATTCCCTTCTGGTAGAGCTTGTCTTTCTAACGGTAGTCAGAACCGGGCAGTAATGAACCTGTTGTTTTTGTCCTCAGTTTGTCCCTGTTGGGTGTGATTTTAATCGCCTTCCAACAAGCACAGTACATTCTGATGGAGTTCATGAAGACGAGACAGAGACAAAATGCCAGCTCCCCTCCACAGCAAAGCACTAGTCCAGTGGACGTAATCAGCCCTCAGTCTCACAAGTAAGGATTCTTGTGTGGGTGGGGGAGATGGTGGCAGGGCTCACCTCTGGTATTACTTACTTCTGATTTTATGTTAAGGTGATCACATGCCTTTAGAATCTGTACAGTTTTGTTCAAGTCAGTGTGTGGCGGCTAAGCCATTCCTAGTATATGCTAGACTTCATGTGAGGGCTCAGGTTATACCTCGGTGGAGCTTGAATGAAAGGTGAGAAGTCCTTAGTACACCCCAGCCCCCCACCACGCTGGCTGCGCCCTCTTCCTCCTGGAGTTAGAGAGGAGAGGTTTATTCAGCTTGCCTTTATGTTGAATGTTTTTCTTCTTAAATTCAGAAGCAATTGCAAGAACTTTCTCGATACCTACACCCCCTCCGATAAAGGCCGAGGGAAAAGCTGCCTTCCGGTCAGCAGCCCGCAGAGCAGGATCCAGAATGCGACCAAGAGGAGCCCGGCCACCTACGGCCACTCCCAGAAGAAGCACAAGTGCTCCGTGTACTACGGGAAGCACAAAGGCAGCGCAGCCGCGGCGAGCAGCGCCGGCGCCCCCTTGGAGGACAGGCCAGCCCCGGCCAAGGAGGACGGGTGCCCCGCAGGGGCGGGCGAGGCCTGGGCGGGCCTCAAGTGTGCCGGGGGCCTGGGCGTCAACCTGCAGAGGAGCTTCGCGCTCCCCAAGAGCTTGCTGGGCAAAGACGAGAACACACCCAAAGGCGCAGTTGCTGCCAGTCACCCTTCCTCCGGGTGTCACGTGAGGGAGGGCGTGCAGACATGTATGTTTCCTAAGGAAACGGACTTTCAGATCGCAGAAGGCGCAGCGGAGCTCCAGGAGCGAGACGTCTGTCCGATGAAGACGCTTAAGAGAATGCCTGAGAATCATGTGCCGAGAAACTCCCCTCAGTGCCCGTCAGACTTGCCAGAGGTTTCCAGGAAAAGTAACGGTAATCTTTTCCTCCTCCTCGGTGATTCTTCCGTCCCGTCTGTCTGCAGCGCGTTCTTCGTGGAATTCGTTTCCCCTGTGACTTTAGTTTGAATTGTGGCTGTGGAATTTTTAGTTCATGCCCTAAGTTTTATTAGCACAGGTATAACTATTGAAATACTGTTTGCACGACGGAAAGTGTAGGGCGGGACACCAAGCTTTTAGAGCTTTGTGGTTAAGTTTACTTTTTTAGTACATTTGCTGGAATGATGCAAATATCATGTTTTATTGTTGGACATCTATTCCTAAGTATCTTTTATCTTGGCCTTTCAGACTGTTTGCAAAGATCACTCAGCCTATGCTTCTCATAGAATGAAACTTGCCAACTTTCTGGGTTTAACAGCTGCCCCCATAGCATGCTGCTCATCCTTGGTTCTTCTCTACTTGTGTGGCTTATTTTTGTGTATCCATCTTGACCATTTTAATAAGCACATTTCTGTTCCCTTCAGGAGGTGAATTTTTGACACACTTTTTACTCTTGAAGAATTAGTTGCTTCTGATCTTACTTGAAACATCTGAATATAAATAAATTCATATTTTTCACTCCTTGATATTATAGAGGACATCATGTTTTCGCTGGTTCTAACGAGCTTTATGCATTTAGTAGGGGGAAAAAACCCAGCTGAATGTTAAATGTTCCCTCAAAGGACATTTCTAATTGAAAAGGAAGCCGGGGTGCCCTGAGTAGAACATGGTTTGGGCCACTTTGCATCGTTCCTGGTGCCCCTTGTCCGCCCCGCTGGCATGCGCTCCGTGCAGCAGTGTCTGCTTGAAGGAGTCCTGTCCCTGTGGCCTCTCCCCAGCGTGTGAGGGTTTCCTCGGATGACGCGCTCAACTGTGTCTCCATAAAGACACAGCATTGCTTGTCTGAGATGCCAGTGGTGGGGCTGTGGGTGCCTGTTCTTCCATTTCTGTCCCAGATGTTCTCTGCAGCTCGGACTACAAAACTCCTGTGCAGAGGGTGACATTCCGCAGTGAGTCTAGCTGAGTATTTCTCATTTCATGCGTCACGTAGGCCTGAGAACAGTATTTGACATAGACTGACTTTACACAAACTTAAGATCAGACTTGTTTCTGGGGATTGTTGCTCCACAGGTGCATCTTCTGTGGTCCATTGCCTCTGTCAGAAATCTGTGTAAATGTGCCTGCTGCATGCACGGGCTGTGGTCTTGCAGGTGGATGGATGGACCTTCTGCTGCGTCAGAGCACTTTGAAGAGCGTGGACCCTCAAATGATGTAGTGCCAGGGAGGGTCAGAGGATTCAGATCCATGCTCCTGGATCCTTGTCTACTTCTGGCTGTTCAGTTCCTGTAGTTGAGCCTAGGTGGCCATGTAATATCTAATAGCACTCAGGAAGAGTGAATAAATGAAATAAAGGAGCCCACAAACATAGAATTTGCTTGTATCATTGTAGATTGTAGACGGCTGTTCCCCCACCCCCCACCCCCAAACCTTCCTGCCCTGTGCAGATGACTGGTATGTTTCAGTTCAGTTCAGTTCAGTCGCTGAGTCGTGTCTGACTCTTTGCGACCCCATGAATCGCAGCACACCAGGCCTCCCTGTCCATCACCAACCCCCGGAGTTCCCTCAAACTCATGTCCATCGAGTCGGTGATGTCATCCAGCCATCTCATCCTCTGTCGTCTCCTTCTCCTCCTGCCCCTAATCCCTCCCAGCATCAGGGTCTTTTCCAATGAGTCAACTCTTTGCATCAGGTGGCCAAAGTACTGGGGCTTCAGCTTCAGCATCAGTCCTTCCAATGAACACCCAGGACTGATCTCCTTTAGGATGGACTGGTTGGATCTCCCTGCAGTCCAAGGGACTCTCAAGAGTCTTCTCCAACACCACAGTTCAAAAGCATCAATTCTTGGGCGCTCAGCTTTCTTCACAGTCCAACTCTCACATTCATACATGACCACTGGAAAAACCATAGCCTTGACTAGACAGACCTTTGTTGGCAAAGTGATGTCTCTGCTTTTTAATATGCTATCTAGGTTGGTCATAACTTTCCTTCTAACGAGTAAGCACCTTTTAATTTCATGGCTGCAGTCACCATCTGCAGTGATTTTGGAGCCCCCAAAAATAAAGTCAGCCACTGTTTCCACTGTTTCTCCATCTATTTGCCATGAAGTGATGGAACCGGATGCCATGATCTTAGTTTTCTGAATGTTGAGCTTTAAGCCAACTTTTTCACTCTCCTCTTTCACTTTCATCAAGAGGCTTTTTAGTTCTTCTTCACTTTCTGCCATAAGGGTGGTGTCATCTGCATATCTGAGGTTATTGATATTTCTCCCAGCAATCTTGATTGCAGCTTGTGCTTCTTCCAGCCCAGTGTTTCTCATGATGTACTCTGCATAGAAGTTAAATAAGCAGGGCGACAATATACAGACTTGACATACTCCTTTTCCTATTTGGAACCAGTCTGTTGTTCCATGTCCAGTTGTAACTGTTGCTTCCTCACCTGCATACAGGTTTCTCAAGAGGCAGGTCAGGTGGTCTGGTATTCCCATCTCTTTCAGAATATTTCAGAATCCTAAACTGGTATGTTTAGGATGCTTTAAATGGAAACAAATCTCTCACTTCAAGAACTTTTTGAAAGTGCTCTTTGGCTGACTCGTCAGCCTGTTAAGCAGTATTAGCGTGATTGTTGGTCAGATCAGATCAGAGTTGATGAACGAACTTTGGCTTTTCACTGTGTTTGTACCAGCAAAATCAAAGGTGCTAATTCACAGGCCTGTATTTCTCCCCAGAATTAACCTGTCAGTGGGAGGTTCCTCATAGGGAAATCCATTCACTGATGTGTATTTGGTTCTGTGTTCTCTTTACATTGCTGTTGCAGGAAAATATCAAAGAGGTTAATAAAGTAAACAAATGACCTCCCGTTAATTTGTGATTTAAGCATTTTAAAGAATTGAGAATCTTAAAAGTAAGAAAGGACTGAGAAATCCAGGGCAAGAAAATTGTAGTTTAAAGATAGGATATGGGGTTTATGGTAATACTGAGGGTTCAGTGTTCTTTTGTCAGATATTAAAGGATGGCTTTGTGATAAGCTGGCAGATGGTGACAGGCGGGGAGTCGTCATGTATAAAGAACCAAGAATGAGAAAACCAAAAGTGTAAGACCCTTCTGATTTTTCACTTCCAACTTGGGAGCATCAGTTTTTTTTTTTTCTATCTTGAAAAGGATTTCACTTTGCGTTTCTGTCTGAAGATCCTTTCTGGAATCTGAAGAACAGCTTCAGTCCTGTGAGCGGAACTCAGCCCCCCAGGAGCCTCTTGGGAACTGAGGTAGCGCTCCGCTGGAACCAGTCAGCATCTTGGCCGCGTTCTTGCCGTTGCTCCCAAAGCACATAGACGGACTTAGAAACACGCCCGGTGACAGGGCAGCCTTTGGGAAGAGGATCTGGGGAGCCGGCCTGTGCTGAGAGCACCTGAAGTGATGCCCTGAACCCGGTGGGGCTCTGGAGCACCCGAGCGTCGTGCCTTCTCCTCCTCCGAGGCCGTGCTTTCTCTGAGCGTAGCCTGCTGTGTGAGAACGGTCTTCTGAGCTGTGTGTTAACGGCTGCGTGCTCACTGTTGTTGTGGAGAGAGTGTTTTCTGAGTAACAAAGTGTGCTGTCTGTCCCTCTCACGCTCTTCCTCCTGCTTCCTCCTGAGAGGGCCGCAGTAAATAACAGATTAAACTTGGTGACAGACGTGCAGTCTGTCGAGAGACTCCTCAGGGCTCGGTTTCACACGCATGTCTTTTGCTGTCAGCCGGTCAAACAGCTGTGAAACAGTGACACCCTCGAAGTGTGTGTTATATGGTCCAGAGTCTCTTGACAATCTGACAGGAGCAGGGCTTTATGTGTAATGTAAATAAGTGATCTTTTGAAATATATCTCCTTTCAAATATTTGTGACTATTATTTTTTCATTATATGATCAAAGTATTGTAGACTTAAAGCTGGAGACCAGTTACTCCTGGAATCAGCATGATGAAAGAGGAATAGTTGGCAAATCTTTTGTTGTCTCTGCTTGTAATAACGTAAGGGATAATGAACTTCTAAATTTAATACCGTAAAGCCTTGAAATTAACAGTGCATGGAAGTTTTTAATGAATTGGACAGGTACTTAGAAAATTTCTGAAATACCAGTGCTTGCAGAAATTAAAAAAATAATCTCATTTATTTAATACTTACAGATACCAAGAACTAGAAATGAAAATCTAGTGGTTTACTCAAAATACAGCATACAGTTAGATTTGATACAGTAAAACTCTGAGCAGGATTCTGGCCCATTCACTTGTTTCCTTTCTCTGATTGTTCTTTATTTTTTATCTTCCTTTTTATCTGCTTTTATTTTTCTTTTTTATCTCTGTGGCTCAGACATTCCTGCTGTGGCAGAAGAGCATATGACCCTGTGAGTCCGCACATGTAGTAGGATGCCTTGGGGTGGCTCCATTTTTAGAACCACATATATGCTCACGGTTATTTCTGAATCCTTGCGTATTGTCGTGTTAGAGTTTCTGGAAGACTAAATTTGAATTCCTTTTATTGTTGGTCCTGATACACTCCATAGGGTTGCAAAGAATCAGACATAGCTGAAGCGACTTAACATGCCTGGTTCTTAATGCCCACAGTAGGTATTAGGAATTTTCTCAGAGTCTGTGCTTTATCCCTTTGGATCCTTTCTAAGAAACTTTGATGACTGATACTTTCAGTACTGTCCTTGGCCTGAAGAAAACTTGAGGAAAATAATTTTCTCATGAATTAAGGTTCTAGGAAATTCATGCACATTTTTAGAGAATAACTGTCTTCTGGGCACGTTGATGGCTTCAGGAACCCGAAGTGATGTCTTTGTGACATTATTTTCTTTTTTGACCCTGTCTCCCTTGCTCTTGGCTCTTTCTCAGCTTCTTCGTGGTGCTGGAATTTTTTTCTTAATTACTTAATTTCAATGGGAGGCTAATTACTTTGCAGTATTATGGTGGTTTTTTTCCATACATCGACATGAATCAGCCATGGGTGTACATGTGTCCCCCATCCTGAACCCCCCTCCCACCTCCCTCCACACCCCATCCCTCTGGGTTGTCCCAGAGGTGCTGGATATTTCATCTGTGGGTGTCTCACACCTGATCTGTGTTGCAGAGGATTTCATGTTCCCAGCGTGTTTATAGCTATATAATATTTACATAGTTTTCCATTAACAAAATAAAAGAATACTTACCTTGTAAGTGTTATTGATAAAATGTATGCATCTTGCTTTGAGTGAGGTTGATGTGTAGCTTCAAGGTTGCAGAATCTGGAGGGCATTTGACCGCTCTTGTCTGTGTTGAGAGCCTCGCGCTGCCCCGGGCCCCTCAGCAAGCAGATGACAGCCTGTAGCCTGCTCTGCTGTGATGTGTTTGCAGGCGGGCATCTACACTTCCCCAGATGGCCAAGGTGTTATGAGGGATTCTTCCTTAAAGAAGAAAGGGGAAGGTATGAAATCCTTTCTGAGTCATATTAGTGTCTTGAGGCCAGTTATCATGGGGTTGAGGTTGGTTTAACTTATTTTGAAGTCAGGGATAGAAGAAGAAATACACTGAGGAATGAGGTTACTTGGAAGAACAGTGGAGAGGTCCCACTTTCGGATGGTTCCTGCTGATGCCGACCTTGCCTCGTGAGTGACTCGAGCTCAGTTCTCCCCCGAGGGTGCTGTTCCCTGGGCAGATGGGCACCTCCTGCAGGAAGACAGCCGGCCCTCCAGCCGTCCGAGTGTCTGTCCGTGATGACCCTTAATATTTTTGTCTTTTCTGGTTGCGTCTTTATAACAGTCAGTTAGGGCAGGCAGAGAAGGTGTTTCGGTTCATATTTAAGAAAACTGCAACTCAGGCAGTTTAAGAGACTTACGTCTGATCATAAAACTGATTAGTGTCTGAGTCATGTCCATAACCCATAATTTTACCTCCTCCTCCAACTTAAAAAAAAATTGCATGTTAGATCCTGGTCAAGGAAGTAAGGTCACACAAGCCACACGATACAGCCAAAAAAAGCTTTGGTAAAATACACAAGCCGAAAGTTACCATCTTAAATTATGAAGCTCAGTGACATTACATTAAGTCCATTCCATCATTGTACAGCCATCACTGGACACCATTGGTTTCCAGAGCTTTTTTATCATCCCAATAAAGCCATCAAGCAGTAACCACCGAACTCTGTTCCCTCCAGTCCCTGGTACCACCATTCTTCTTTTTATCTCAGTGAATTTGACATCTCTAGGTCCCTCAGACAAGTAGCTGCTGCTGCTGCTAAGTCACTTCACGTGTCCGACTCTGTGTGACCCCATAGACGGCAGCCCACCAGGCTCCCCTGTCCCTGGGATTCTCCAGGCAAGAACACTGGAGTGGGTTGCCATTGCCTTCTCCAGTGCATGAAAGTGAAAAGTGAAAGTGAAGTCGCTCAGTCGTGTCTGACTCTTAGCAACCCCATGGACTGCAGCCCACCAGGCTCCTCCGTCCATGGGATTTTCCAGGCAAGAGCACTGTAAGGATCACACGGTATTTGTCTTGTGACTGGCTTATTTCACTCAGTATAGTGTCTTCCCTGTGGCTTCCCTGGTGGCTCAGGTGGTGAAGAATCTGCCTGCAATGCATGAGACCCAGGTTTGATCCCTGGGTCAGGAAGATCCCCTGGAGAAGGAAATGGCAACTCACTCTAGTATTCTTGCTTGGAGAATTCCATGGACATAGGAGCCTGGTGGGCTACAGTCCTTGGGATTGCAAAGAGTCAGACACGACTGAGCGACCAACACTTTGACGTCATAATTATCGTCAGTGTTCATCCATGTCATGTCATATGTTGGAACTTCATTCCTCTTTTCCCCTACCTTAACCGTTTTGGTTTGTATGTTCAGCAGCGCTAGTTATATTTGCATTGTAGTGCGATGAATCATTCCTGTTTAAAGCTAACGGTGTTCCACGGTATTTACCACATTTTGTTTATCCATCCATTTGTCCGTGCACAAGTTTGGGTTGTTTCTACCTTTTGGCTTTTATGAATAATGCTGCAGTGAATAATGGTGTGTCCCTCCTCTCTCTTCCTGTGAGCTCTCTTGCTGTTTGTAGAACTCAGTATAAGTGCCTTTTCACCTGCAAACAAGATACATTTTTAGAGCGTTCATTGTGGATGTCAGAAACAGCCCTTAAGTCTAAGCCTCATTAAATCAAATGAGATTGTGTGGTGTAGGAAGGAAATTTAACTTTGGGGAATGTGAATGGAAATAATTAGCTAGAAATTGAATCATTTTTATTTATTCAAGGGAATAACCAGCAAGTGCCTGTCAAGAATGAAGCAGACAGTTGTGAAACTTTGAAAAAGGTTGACACAAAGTCTTCTTCAGAGAAGAAGATTCACAAAGCAGCTAAAGAAGACGGATGTTCTGAGAAGCAGGACATACCTTCAGTCGAGGTCTGTATCCATTTTTTTCTTGCCTTTTAGAACAAAACCCAGTTTTAGGGCTTCAGGTTGCAAATACCTGTGTAATAACTGTACATTTGTATTTCCTACTTTTCAAAGAGGATCGTTACATATTTTGATTTCACATGGATAATTGGTGAGGTTGACGTATTCAGAAAGTTTATCTTCTAATTATATAGGAAATACTAAAATAATTTTTGATGACATCAGATAGCTTTTATCTGCAAGAGGAGCTGTTCTTAAGCAAAACGGGTTAACTGCTGGGTGAAAACGGCAGAGTAGAACCAGATCACATCTATCTTCTCTCACTGTTACCCAGCATCCTTTTTTAGGGCAAAGCCTTGCTGGTTTAGAAGCACAAGCCAGTGCCGCACAGGAGAGGGGTGCCTGTCCAGCTTCAGTGTGTGGGCTCTGGCAGGACAGACTCCCAGAAGAAAGAGCAAAGCTTGGTACTGTCCCACCGTGTGGACCACTGCAAAGTGTCTAAAAAGCAGAACCCAGCGTGTATCTGATAGGAACCAAAGTTCCCAGATAAAGGTGGGAAAGGGATTTAGGAGAATTTATCTGCTTTACCTCAGAATAGAGCTGTCTGTGTATTAGCACAAGCACAGTGGAAAAAATAGCATTGCAACTAGGCCGATATACTGTAGGAAAAATGAAGAGAAGGAATAGAACATGCCAAAAACAGACCAAGGTTCTAATCCAGATGAAAACCTATCCAGAGACATGAAGGGAACTTTGAGAACACCTCACGTAGTAGACTATGAATTCAGTAAAACACAAGCTTTTAAAGGCAAATTAATAGGTGAGAATGTAGTTGGAAGAGGTATATGACAGTGGCTGAAAATTGATTTACTGAGCTGAAGGAAAGGCTTAGAGATAACCAGAGTGAACGTGGAGGAAAAATTTTAAGAGATTGAAGATTTTAGGGAAAAGATGATAATAGATAGGGGGACAAAGACAAAAATAGTCCAATGTAAAAGAATGATTGTCTCAGTAAGTGGCCCAACAATGGATCAGAAAAGTATTCAGTGATGTAATAGAAGAAAAATTTCCTAATGTGACGGTAAAACTGAGTTTAAAGATTCAGAGACACTGTGTACACCAGAAATGCTGATCCGTGATAATAAACATAAGCACATCCTGGTTAAGGTGTTGAACTTAAAGTTTAAAGTTTAAAGTTTAAATTGTGCAGAAAAGACGGGAAATAAATATACGTATGTCTATGGCTGATCCATGTTGATATATGGCAGAAACCAATACAATATTGTAAAGCAATCATTCTCCATTTAAAAATAAAAAATTTTTAAGAAAAGGCAGGAAAAATCAGACACACACCCAGGTTTGCCTCAGGCTTTGTAGAAGCATCTAACATCTGAGAGCAGAAGAGTTCTCTCCTTGAGACAGTGAAAATGTGAATGCAAACATTATGTCCAGAGAAGCTGGCACTCAGGCTCAAAGGCAATAAACATGCATCTGCAAATGCAAATGCACTTGGCAGCCTTGCTTGAAAAATGAAGTTAATGAAATTTAGGCACCCAAGATAAAAGTATAGATAGACTCAGGATCGAGGAAGCTGTGTTAAGGATCTTTTGAGGTTTCTGTCCATTTTATATCCAGAACTAAGGCTGAACAGTTGTTGATTACGATTGTAGAACAGAAATCAAATATTAAAACTTGAATGAAGCAGAAATAGTAATAAAATCTGCAAAAACAGGAGGCGGGATTGAAAGGTGAGTGTAAAGTAAGTTTTAATTTTCTTTCTTGGTAGCAAGCCATATCTGTGCAAAACTGAGGCATGTAGTTTAAAAGGGTGAGAACCTAGAAAAATCTGTTTCACCGTCTTTCTCTTAACCTTAGAGATATCCTTAAGGAATTAATATATCATGTGGAAAAGAAACATTTATTGAAAGTTGGCATTCCTTTGGTTCTGCTTGATTTTCTTCTGTTAAGTTCAAATAAAATTGAACCTTAAAGTTTTATTTAAAAACAGTGCATGGTCTTAGTTTTCTAAATTACTCCCATCATCTGTCCTGCCACCCTTATGTAAGTATAGGTTTTAAAAAGACATTTTAAAAAATAAGGTTTGCTAAATAATCAATGGGAGAACTGGGTTATTTCTCAGGGGTGGGATTTTGCATGATTTCTTTTTTTTCCTTCTTTATGTTATTCTGTTTTTGCTTAAACTCTATAAAAAGCATGAATTTTTCACTGAAGTAAATGAGTGTGATATCAAATAAGAAAATCTCAGACATTCCAAACCAGGTATCTGTGGTCTGTTGAGAAAGACAAGGTATTCCCATGTAGTCGAGTGCTCAGGTCAGTGCGTGGTCGCAGGGGTTGCAGAGGTGAGCACAGGCCCTGGGAAAGGATGCTTTGCCTGCTCAGGAATTCCAGGATCAAATTTTTAAAAGCACTCTGGCCCAAACAAAAAGTCTGTTTGGAGGATTTGGCCTGAGGGTGGCCCGTTTGGGGACCCTGCTGCGAATCTTGGAGAGCTGTTGAAGGGTTCTGCCTTGGGCAGGGGGTGGGGGCGGGGGTGGGGTGGGTAGGGAAGGATAACAAATGGAAAGCAACCTGCAGTCTGCCGTCTTCATGAAGGTCGTGATTGAGTATCTTTAAATTCAGTTTCATAAAGTTGGGCAAAGTGCCTGTAATGAAGAGCCAGTGTGGTGGTTTAGCAAGTGCTCAAATGAATGTGTGAATAGGGCATTTATGCAGGATCTGTCCGGGTGTTTTGGAGGCAGGTTGGGGAGGGCAGGGATGGGTACTGGCTCTGTGCTCACCAGGAGGCTGTTCCTCTGCTGGGAGGTGTGATGTAATCAAGGCTGGGCTTGGCAGGAGCAGGGGTACAGGATGGCACAGTGTAGAAGAGAGATCTCAGGACTTCTGAGGACCTGAGTGCTTGAAGGAAAGGAGCCATCTTTTCCTGCAGAGCCATTTGGAAAAACAGCTCCAGGGTTTTAAGTCTGGGAAACTAGAATGTGGGGAATTGGGACCTCCCCCTTGCTGCGTTCATGTTCATCTCAGGGCAGTGTTGCCTAGTGGTTTAGCGGCATGGGTTTTTTGTTTTTGTTGTTTTTTTGCAGCTGGTGTGAATCCAGCCCAACTCTTACTCCTTAATGTTGGGTGAGTTACTCAACATTGCAGTTTCCTCATGTGAAACATGAGAGTAGTGATAGTATTCCTACCTCTCAGGGCCTCGAGGATTTGAGGAGTGGCAAGTGCTTAGGACGGCAGCCCTTGGGAAGCACTGCCCAGTGGCTGGAATCAAGGAGGTGACAGGTGTGACTGTGATCGCTGCCAGCAGAGGGGGCCAGACGGGCGTGGCGGTGCTTCGTGGGCGGCAGGTACGGAGCCGGAGCCGCCGCTGCGAGGCAGGCCCTGGGAAGGGAGTGTATTCTGGCTGGAGACTACCCCTGGAGTCCAAGGGGTTGCAAAGAGTCGGACAAGACTGAGCAAGCTTCACTTCGCTAGAAAATACCAGACAGGAGAATTGAACCTACTGTATTTTAAGATAACCTGGAAGCATGGTGTAAAGCTGAGAAAATTCTTACTGGCTGAAGTCAGGTATTGGTTTTGTTGCTAAGCAGTGACCCCATGAACTGCAGCATGCTAGGCCTCCCTTGCCTTTGAGTTTGCTCAAAGTTGTGTTCTTTGAGTCAGTACAGTGAGCTTTCCCAACTCGCACAACTGTATGTTTTGGATCCATTTTTATTTAATATTTATACTCTCAGATGGACTTATTTTTATTTGGATCAAACCCTCATTGTAGTGGGATCCAGCCCACTACAGTGCAATGAAACGTGTGTCCGGGAGGGGCTCTGTCCCCGTGGAGGTTAGCACTGAAGGGTGTTGTGAGCTCTCTGAGGCGGGCGCGGAGGCCAGCGGCCCGAGTCTGCTTGACGGGCGAGCGGAGCAGGCAGACAGCAGGCGAGCCACCCGGGCCGCGGGGACAGGGCGCACGGGCAAGAGCAGAAGTCGAGTCCGTGGACCTGCGGGAGAACGGCCTGGACGCAGCTGGGAACAGGACGCTGTGCTGCCCTGCGGCGAAGCGAGGCCGACTCCGAGGGCTGCCGACCCCGCTGCCCGCTGGCCGTGTGTCCTGGGTGGTGGGGGGGGGAGCCGATCCCGGCAGGGCCTTGAGTGCACCCGCCAGGCTGGAGGTGTGGCCCTGCCTGCTTGTGGGGGGCGCCGTGCCCCCTGCCCCGCCCCCAGCCACAGAGCTTCCCCGGCGCCCGTCCAGACTCGCCCTCTGCGTCGGTGCCTGCGTGCACGGAGCCTGGATGCTCCATGGAGCCCGGATGCTCCATGGACCCCGGTCCAGGGCTTGTGTCGGCTCCGCCTCCCCTCCCTGCTCCGTGCAGGCAGCGGGCTCCGCGGGGGCCGCACTGGGGCCGCGAGTCTGGGGGCTCGGGCCGGGCTCGGGGGGTCCGAGGCGCCTCACAGTGGCTGAGCGACTTTCCGGGGCAGCGGGGCTGGGGGTGGGCTGTGGGCGGTCCTCTCTGCTGGCTCGGGGGCCTGCTCTTTAAACCCCTTGAGTGTACTTTCCATTTCGTTGCTCGCTTGGAGAAAATCATTCTCAGCAAACGCGTCCCCGAGTGCAGTGCTCAATGTTTGTTTTTCTTGCGCATTCTTGGGGCCTAACTTTGCAGCTAAAAGATTGTATAAGTCTGTCTATAGCACATGGGGAACATTCCTCCAGATTTATTGGCGAAGGAGGTTGAAGCCCAGATTTGGGAGCCACAAACCAAATTTTAGTCCCAGCCTTGGCTGTTTTTCTTGTAAGCAGATCTCCATCCCCTGCTTAGAAAAGGAATTCATGACTATTAGAGAAGCGTAAAGAAGGAAGGAAAAGATGTGTCCAGAATGGATCACTTTTCGCATTTTTCTGTATTCTCTTGCTTCTCTGTGCAAGCATTGAAAAACGCGGGATAATTATATTATTGTGTATACGGAGCTTTGTTGTAATGTCATAATTTTGAATTTTCTCGTGTTAGAAATTAATGAGGAGCTTTGTTTTCAATGGTTACATAACATGCCATCACTTAATTGTGCCGTAATCCAAACCATTTCCCTGCAGTTGAACATTAGAGTTGTTTGCAGCTTTTTATTTTCATAAATAACAGGATGGTGAACTAAGTGGCCTGTGTACCTGCGATACCCTTGCTATAGATTTCTGGAAAGAGAGTTAAAGAGCATCAGCTGTCAGGGTCCCTCCTGTGTGCCTCCAGCTTGCTCTCAGAAAGACGGTGCCTGTCTCCCTTCATGCAGGGTACGTGACAATGGTCCTGTACTCCGATCTCAGCAGCACTGTTCTTTGGCAAAATCTTGGTCAGTGGGATAGGTAAACAATTGCATTTTTTCATTTCAGTTTGCATCTCTTACTAAAGAAAAGTAAGGATTTTCCTTCATTCTTTTTGTAAAACTCTGAAAAGCACAAGACACCATTATCCAAGATCCTACCACTGACGTTTTTTAAAATATGTACTTTGTCTAAGTTAAGATGTGAATGTCTACGCCAGTCTCGCTTGCCCTGCTGAGAGACACAGGAGAGACACATGCTGTTACAGCGCACTGCCCCACCCCCTAGCCTGCCCCTGTCTTTGCAGGCGTAAACACACAGTGTAAACACACTTGTGTTTTTAAAGCCAAAATGGAAAGATGAGATACAAGTTGGTCTATGATTTGTCTTTTCTAACAACACGCTTTATTGTTAAATATTTTGGAGGAAGTCTTCGTGCTTTTGGCCTTCTGTTGCTTCTGTGAACTTGCGTTTCATGCCGTTTGTCCACTTCCCTGTTGAATGTGTTTTTCTCCCCCTTGTTTTCTTTGAGAACATAGGTGAAGGTGTTAACTCTTTATCAAATAGTAAAACGATTTTTTCCCTTAGTTTGCCCTTCTCTCCTTTTATTTGACTTACGTACAGTAGCTTTAAGAATGCCTTTGTGCAGTCTGTGATTTCTTTTTTATTTCTTCCCTTGTCTTCATTATTAAAGCTTAGAAAACCTTATTTCCCCACCCTGTGATCAGTTGGTTGTCCCTCATTCAGGAAGATCAGGTAATTCAACAGTGACGATCATAGCTCAGTCTATGGACACTGCCTGCTTCGTGTTGCGTACTTGAAGCCTCACAATAGCCTTTTGGAAGACTTGGGAAACTGAGGCAGAGGGAGGTAAAGCTACTTGCCCAAGATAACTGAGCCTGTCACACGGAGTGGGGCTCAGGTCAGGCGGTTCAGCCTCAGAGACTCTTAATTTCAGATCTGCATGGACCCTTCAGACCCTTGTTAGCCCTGCCTCCTCACCACCAGAAACCAAAGACCCACTGTCCCTGTCTTCCTCCTGTTTCCCGACAAGTCTGTAGCTTTGGTTCCCCTCAGCTCCACCTGCAGCCTCAACTGCTGGCGTGTCCTCCCCTGGCTGCCTCTGGCCGCAGCCTCTGCACAACCTGATGCCTCTCTGACACACAGACAGACAGACAGACAGACACACATGCGCCGTCTCCCCGGCCGCTCCTGTGTTTGCTGCACCCTGCTTCTGTGTCACTCCATCCACACCGTGGCCAGCATGTCCCCGCTCTCCTGAAGCTCACAGGCAGGCCCCCACCCCCACCCCAGGCCCCCCCGCCCCGGGCTAGCCTTCCGGCGCTCCCCTCTTTTGAGCCACGCCACCGCTCACCCTTCTGGCTCCATTAGAAGCTGGCCCTTCACGTGTGGGTGACCCTGGGACAGAAAGGCTCAGATCCCTGCTGTGTTGTGTATTTCCAACTTATGCTGGGGTAGGGGGATAGTGAGGTGGGGAGGAGCCGGCTTTTCCCCTACCCCACCAAAAGCTGGAAAGAGAGCAATACTCAAATAAATGTGGTTTGTATTTGATGTTTAAAATCGCATCTTCTCTGACCACACATCTTTAGTGTGTCTATTTAGTTTAGAACTTTTTAGCATTAAGTCCTATAGGATAGGACTTTGTGTGTTTGACTTGCCATGTTTTAAAAGTACTCTCAGAATCAGGAAAAATACTTATTTGAGGGGGAAAATACAGGTTAAAGATAGCAAAAATACCATAATCCCACCACATATGCAGTTTAAAAATATCATTTTATTTCTAGTGTTCATTTATGGTAGTGATATCTATCATATTTCTTTGATAGATACATGAGGTTTTCACTGCCCCAGACATGTAACATGCAGTCATCTAAAACCTTTTATTTTTCTTCTGCTTTAAAGGGGCAGTGTGGTAGAAGGAAGAAGAAAAAGCTTTAGAGGACATTAAAGAGATGAGCTACTTAAAAAATTTAAAAGGCAAGGGGACCGCTCCTCCCCTTGGGCCTGTTAGAAAAATGTGCAGAAAATGTGACCATGCCTCACATTTAAAGGACTCTCAGGTGGCTCAGTGGTGAAGAATCTGCCTGCCAGTGCAGGAGCCTCAGGAAACACGGGTTTGATCCCTGGGTCGAGAAGGTCCTCTGGAGGAAGAGATGACAGCCCACTCCAGTGTTTTTGTCTGGAAAATCCCATGGACAGAGGAGCCTGGTGGGCTATAGTCCATGGGGTCACGAAGAGTTGGACACGACTGAGCACACATGCCCTTCAACATTTGAAAGAGGAAAAAACCCAAATTTTAAAAATTGATATATATTATATAATATATGTATGTGTCATGCTAAATTAAGTTTTTCAGAACATTTAAAAACATCAAGCATATTCTTGGTTTTATTTACTTGAAAAGCTTAAACTAGTTTGGAGTATTCTCTGGAGTTTTGACTGTTCTCCTAAAGTTCATTTATAAACAAATAAAAACGTAAATACACAAATTACTCCTCTAAGTTGAGTTTTTACATGACTTTTCTTCAGTAGTAATTCATGTGAATTGCACATACCAAATAAACAGGTGAAGGTCAGAGGAGTTATTGCTGCTGAGGTTAACAGCAAGCTGACCATAAATTGCTAACAGATGTTTTTCCTTTATAGCCCCTGAGAAATTTTATAGGCACAGTTTGTGTTTTTTTTTTTTCTTTTCTTTTTGCAGAGGTTGAAGGAAGTAGAAAAAGAAAGGAAATGAAAACAGACTAGAGATTGAGAAATATATGTCCTCAGTTTTCACTAGTTCTGGAATGTTCTGAATTCAGATGGGGTTAGTCTTCAAAAGCTAAAATCACACAGAGGTTCTTCTGTGTATTAGAAAGGTGAAGACTTTACTAACATTTTCTTTTTTTCCTCTTTAGCAAGAAGATCCTTATAGGAAGAAGGCGCTTCAGGAAAAGAAAGAAGGAAATGTACAAAATTTAAATTGGAGTAAAAATCGAATGTGCAGAAAAAACAAAAAGAGGGGTGCTGCCCAGGTCTTGAGGTGTGTAATTTTTACAATCCCTTTAAGTTTTCATCCATTATTTACTTTGTAATTTTACATTTAGCTGTTACCTTCCAATCTTATTTTTGTTGAGTTGGATACAATAATGTAAGAGTGTAGATATTTGCGTTTTGAGAGGAAAATACATTGCTGAAATTAATATTCTTAAAATTAACATATCTTCTGGTTACTTTTATTTTTATTGGAAAGCCCCTTAAAATGAACAAATTTTAAAAATTTTAGTTGGTAAAATGCAAAAAGCCATGGAAGGTTTTAGGGGAAAAGCATAGTCATTCCACCTCGCCAGGGCCTTTGTTCTGCCTGTGAAGTGACAGGGAGCAGGTGGTAGAGAAAGCCCTGGGCTCACCTTCCCAGCCTGACCCTGAGCTGTCTGGGCTGCCTGGGATCCTGATAATGAGAGAGAACACCCCGTGCATCGGATCTTCTGCTCCATCTTGCAGAAGGAAGGTTCCTCCATTGCAGGAAGGGAGGCTCCGATACTACGAGGTTGGCCTGTGCCAAGAGCCAGATGTGACCCCAGGCAGTCAGACGTTCTTGTTGGTAAACCTTGCTTATCTGCCAAATGAAGGGTCCACCAGGATTTGTGGGAATCCCATTTGAGTTTCCACAAGTGGCTCTCTAAACCTAGTTTTGCGTTAGTTCCAACGCTCGAGGGTTTTTCCCACTAGATCAGTAGTGTGTCCATCCTGACTCCAGGCGCAGAGCACCTCCCGCCCTCTCCCCGTCCCTGGGGTGCCTGCTGAGCGGCCCTGCACTGATGGGCTCCCCGACCCCTGTCCGGGTGGCCTCGGCCTGCTTTCCCAATGCAGAGCCCTCTCGTGGACCCCGGAGCGCCTGCTGAGTGGCCCTGCACTGATAGGCTCCCCGACTCCTGTCCAGGTGGCCTCGGCCTGCTCTCCCAGTGCAGAGCCCTCTCGTGGACCCCGGAGCGCCTGCTGAGCGGCCCCGCGCTGATGGGCTCCCCGACTCCTGTCCGGGTGGCCTCGGCCTGCTTTCCCAATGCAGAGCCCTCTCGTGGACCCTGGAGCGCCTGCTGAGCGGCCCCGCGCTGATGGGCTCCCCGACCCCTGTCCGGGTGGCCTCGGCCTGCTTTCCCAATGCAGAGCCCTCTCGTGGACCCCGGAGCGCCTGCTGAGCGGCCCTGCACTGATAGGCTCCCCGACTCCTGTCCAGGTGGCCTCGGCCTGCTCTCCCAGTGCAGAGCGCTCTCGTGGACCCCGGAGCGCCTGCTGAGCGGCCCCGCGCTGATGGGCTCCCCGACTCCTGTCCGGGTGGCCTCGGCCTGCTCTCCCAGTGCAGAGCGCTCTCGTGGACCCCGGAGCGCCTGCTGAGCGGCCCCGCACTGATGGGCTCCCCGACTCCTGTCCGGGTGGCCTCGGCCTGCTCTCCCAGTGCAGAGCGCTCTCGTGGACCCCGGAGCGCCTGCTGAGCGGCCCCGCGCTGATGGGCTCCCCGACTCCTGTCCGGGTGGCCTCGGCCTGCTCTCCCAATGCAGAGCCCTCTCGTGGACCCCGGAGCGCCTGCTGAGCGGCCCTGCGCTGATGGGCTCCCTGACCCCTGTCCAGGTGGCCTCGGCCTGCTCTCCCATGCTGGCCCTCCGCCCTCTGGCTTGTCTTCTGTTGAGCACTGGCTCTTGTGAGCTCAGCGAGGTGTTAAATGTGTCTGTTCCGTTGTTCTCGGCAGCTCCACATTCGTGCAGAGAAGACTGCATGTTGGTTGCTCTCGTGGTTGGGAGGGAAATCTGCCAGAACAGCCGCTGTGGCGGCCAGGGGCCCCGGGTGGGGGCATCTGTCTTCCTTGGTTTGCACCCTTGGGATGCAGCCCTGTGACATGCCCCGCCCCCCACCGCCCCTGTGTGTCCTGCTTTACCGGGAGGAGGGCCAAATGACCCTGGGGGCCTTTTTTTTTTTTTTTTTAAAGCTACTTATTTATTTGGCTGTGCTGGGTCTAAGTTACAGCACACGAGATGTTTAGTTGAGGTATATGGGGTCTAGTTCCCTGACTAGGGACCAAACCTGGACCCCCTGCCTTGGGAGTTCGGAGTCTTAGCCCCTGGACCACTAGTAGTCCCCTCCCCACCCCCAGGGGGCCTTTAAGCTCTGGTTCTGTGCCCTGCAATCAGCAGCATGCAAATAGGAACAAAAAAACAGAGACCCACTGTTAGATTATTAATGGGTGATTATTGATCTATTAAATTATTAAATACTGTTTTCATGGGTAATTATTCCTAGGCTACATTATTTGAAAGCTGCAATGTGGTCTCCTATAGAAAGGAAAGTCACCCCTTATATTCTCATAAAAAGTTGATGGACTTGGGTGGTTCCTTTAAAGTGGTATATTTGCTTGATATGGACACACAAAAAGAGAAAAGGTTAGGGTGGAGTTTCATCAATTGAATGTTAAGCTATATTTTTAAAAGCAGATTTCTGACATGTGAAAGAAACAAATTTAAGTTATTACAGAACAACTGAACTATCTTATAGGTAATCAGAGTTTTCTGAGAATATGATGCTTAGGTAGCTGATGGTTCTTGGCCTTTCTGCTCCCTTGGCTCCTGCTTCTGTCTCTGTACTCTTTGCCCTGAGTGCTCAGAATCCAGGGAGGCCACTGACTCCATCTCACGCTCAGATTCCGCAGTCGTCCCTGACGTGAGGTACAGAAGTTGGAGTGTGTGAAATAATCACTGAGACGTTCCTGTAGTGCTCTCTGGGACAATTTTGTGTCCCCATTTATAAGACCTGTATTTCAGGTCTTCCCTCAAGTTCATGGTCTAGTTAGAGAGATGTAAGTGTTGGACCGTGAAGTCCTTGGGGAAAAAACGTTCTTCTTTGTAGATACTGCACCTTTCCTAACAATACGTGACTCGTGATGGTCACTGCATAAGTGTTTGCTAAATGAATGAATGAGAAAAGATATCAGCTAACACTCAGACCTTCCCTCACACCAAGCAGGGTCATCCACCCAGAGTCATTTTACACTAAATGCAAGGAAGACACGCCAAGAGTTGTGGGTTTTAGTCCTGTACCTGCCACTTACCAGTTGACCTTGGGTGACTCATTGAACCTGTGCAGTATTACTCCTCTTACTGTAAAATACAAAGCGAGTAAATGAACTCCAACTTAATTCTGGTTCTAAAATGGCAAAAGCTTATCTTTCCTGATCTCTGTCATCATCATCACCCCCAGAGAGAAGAGGGCTTGCGTTGTCACAGATTCACATTCTCACGCTGCTGAGGAGAACAGGTATGTGTGTATGCAGGATACCGTGCAGATGGGATTTTCTGTGGCTCTTCCAGGCCTTCCGACCAGAGTGAGTTAAAGCTGGTGTGCAGTGAGTTTGAAAGGTCTGAGCTGAGCAGTGACGTCAACGTAAGGAACTGGCATATCCAGGAAAGCCCTGGGGAAGCGTGCAGAGCAGGTGCCAGCACTGGAGGCAGCTTACCTGCCACGCAGGGAGAGGCAGGTACGGAACCGCAGTGAGCTATGAACCACACTTCTGCTGGGCTTGTTTCCTCGGGGAGGGACCGGGGTGAGAGGTTACCACTTCCCAGGCAGAGTGTCCTCACGCCTGAGTGGAGAGCCGTTGGATGGGACAGGGCGCTGAGGCTCTCCCGAGCCCGCGCGTTGCCCCTCTGACCTCCAACGCCCCTGAAATCTGGATTTTCGAGTGTGTCCTGTAGACGGCTGGAGGGAGTGGGTGCTTGCTCAAGACAGGACTCCCTTGAATAGAGAGGGGAGCTGGGGAGGAACGGCCATGGGTTTGGCAGCACCAGGGTGGGGTGCAGAGCGGGGAGTCACGATCCTCCTACCAGCACCCACGTTCCCAGCCATGTGCCCACCGGGGTGCACCCAGGACACTGAGCTGATGGGTTTCTGTTCCTGCCCTGCTCACCTGGGTCTGCCTGGAGGGTCTTCCCTCCCACACGTAAACCATATTCTGAAATGCGGGATGAACGTTTTTTAAAATGTTTTTATTAGCGTATAGTCAATTTGCAATGTTGTGTCAAGTTTCAGATGTACAGCAGAGTGATTCTTTTTCATTTATTGGTGGACATTTTAATAGAAGCAGTGACCTCCGTGTCTCCAGTCCAAGAGAGTAGTCTTGATTTTCTGGAGGGAAATCCTTGCTGTTCCCAGAACGATTGTCAGGCTGACGTCACCCCAGGTGCTGGCGGTCTCACCCCCACGGCATGCGTCGCCCGGCTGCTGCGGAGTGAGGGGCCGTGTGGTCAGCACGTGGCTGCCTCCGGCCGGTTGTCAGTCTCAGGGGGTGTCTTCCTTCTCGCGGAAGCCGAGCCCCGCCTTCCTCCCCACTCGGCCACTCTCCTCTTCCTGGAAGTGGCCCGGCTCCTCTCTTGCTTCCCGCAGAGGGTTACTTTCCGAAACCGGGGAAGAAGGGTGCAGAGAAGTCCTGCTCAGACTCCGGCTCAGACTGTGGCAGCTCCTCGGGCAGCGTGCGCGCCAGCCGGGGCAGTTGGGGCAGCTGGAGCAGCGCCAGCAGCTCTGACGGGGACAGGAAGCCGGCCGCGGGCCCTCCGCGCTGCCTGCTGCCAGGTAAGTCCGCGGCCGGGCCAGGGCCCCACCCGCCCCGAGCAGGGCCTGCCCAGGCGCAGGAGGCTGTGTGTCCAGTGTTTGCTTTGCTTTGCTTTCGTTCTAATGCTTATTATTTATTTCACTTATTTTGGGTGTGCTGGGTCTTCCTTGCTGCACAAGCTTTTCTTTAGTTGCGGCAGGTGGGGAGTACTCCCTAATTGCAGTGCACAAGCTCCTCATCCCGGTGTCTTCTCTTGTTGCCGAGCGCAGGCTCTAGGGCGCAGGGGCATCAGTAGTTTCGGCTGCTGGGCTCCAGACCACAGGCTCAGTAGTTGGGGCGCTTGGGCTTAATTGCCTTGTGGCAGGTGGGGTCTTCCTAGAAGGGGGGATTGAACCTTTGTCTCCTTCATTGGCAGGCGGATTCTTCACCCCTGAGCCACCAGGGGAGCCTCTGTGCTTTGGATTTTATCCACTTCCTTTTTCTTTCTTCCTTCCTCCCTCCATTATCATTATTACTAAGTCTGTATCTTGAAAACAGTTCAAAGAACTTCCACGTTTATTTTTTCATCTGTACATGTTTTTATTGTGGTAAGATACATGTAACCCAAAATTTACCATTTTAACCATTTGTAAGTGTTCATGGGCATTACATACATTCACATTATTGTGCAGCCATCACCACCATGCGTTTTCAGACCTTTCCCCCTTCCCAAACAGAGGCTCGGTACCTATAAGTCCACAGCTCTCCCTTCCCCACCCCCTGCAACCCTGTGAACCTCTCCTCTGCTTTCTGTCTGAATTTGAATATCTAGTACCTGGTAAGTCAAGTCATACCATACCTGGCCTTCTGTAACTGGCTTATTTCATTTAGCATGACGTCTTCAGGTTCATCTCCGTTGTGATGGACCAGGGTTTCCGTCGTTTTAAGGCTGAGTTTATTATTCATTGTCTTTTCATACCACAGTTTATCTGGCTGTTCATCTGTTGATGGACACCTGGATTTTTCCATCGTTTGGGTACTATACTAATGTTGCTGTGAACAGTGGTCCTCCTTTATTTTTGAAAAATTTACAGATACAGGACATGTCAATGAAGCACCTATATTTTTATCACTTAGAATGAATAACTCTTTATTTTGTCATTTGCCCTCTTTTTTTTTTTAAGAAGTCATAGTCTGTTCCGCTCGCCCCTCCTTGAGAGGCTCGCTGTCCACTGTGTGTTATTTCACATTCTCACATCCATCGACAAAGCAGAGAATTGTCTTTAATGTACATGAAGGAGTCTGTGCTTCAGTAAGCGTGCCGCGCTTGTGCCTTCTCCCTCGGCGTGGTTTGCTCTAGCTCTGTGTCTGTAAGATGTAGTTCACTTCTTTTCACTGTTATAGTCAGCATGGTACAGGTTGAGCTCTGTTACCAGGACAGGCAGGGAGACAGGGGTTCACCCTTGGGGCACTCACTGTGTGTGTGCCTGGTCATGAGTGGGGGGTCATGACTGGCTCAGAGCAGTCACGTGGCTTGCTGGACGCCCAGAATCCCACGGCTTCCCCAGAACCCTGCCCCTTTTCCAGCTTCCTGCTCCTTGCAGTGACCTCTGCGCTCTCTCCTGCCAACAGTGATACCTAAACAGAAGCTCTCGTCCGGGGGACCGGGACCCTAATGCCATAAAAACCGAGACAGCCACCCCCTTGTGATTTCTGTCTTTTTTCTCAGCCTTTTTCTCATTTTGGCTCCTCCTGCAGGCATCTTTTTAGACACTGCTTGCCGAGTGACCCCCCCATAAAATCTCAGTGCCGCCCGCATAGAGCAGGCATCTCTCTGACTGCCCCGTGCCTTACGCATAGCGATCAGCTGTTCTCCTGCCTCGTCCTGAGCAGGCATGACACCACCCCGTGGGGAGCGCATTCAGGCTTGGGCGCAGGGCAGATCGCAGCATTTTGTTTGGTGGTGGGCCTGGTATGCTTGCCCATTGAGGGCAGTTTGGCTGTTGATGCCAATGGGAGCATTTTTAAATTGGTGCTTAACATCAGCAAGAACAAAAGAGCGTCTCTCGCCTGTGGGATGCGGCCCACAGTAAGAAAGAGGGAAAGGTGATTGACTGATGCCTTTCTGTGACACAGGGCGTTAGATGCAGCCTAGGTGTGTTTGGAGGTTGCATAATAAATGTCGGGAAAGTGTCCCCAGTATAATAATCATGTAAAAGACCGAAAGCGAAAGTGTTTTTAAAATGTGATCCCAATTTTACACGTATTTGTACATAAAAGGTTTTTTAATTAAAAAATTACTGAATGTGTGAATACAGTTAAAAGTGAAAAATCACTCATAGAGGTTAATTATGTTAGCAGTCTGCATCTTAAATGCAGAATAGATACAGTTGAATTATGCTTATAAAAAGTTCTGATCATCTTTTTGTTTTTATGCAGGAGACAGTGTTTCACAAAATGACTTTTCCTCTGAAGCTCCCATCTCCTTGAATCTTTCTCGTAACGTCTGCAATCCCATGTAAGTGTTTGGTTTTCCTCTGAAGCTCCCATCTCCTTGAATCTTTCTCATAGCATCTGCAATCCCATGTGTTTGGTTTTCCAGCTTTGACTCTATGTTTCAAGTACCACTTTTTTTTTTCATTTTGGGTGTTTTTTCTTTGTTTTCAGTTCTGCGGACTAAAAATAGGAAAACCTTTTAATGATATGAGAGTAAAATTGATTTTATTAATAATTTAAAGCATACATTCCTTCCAAGATAACATGTTCGTGCAGGAGCATCTCTGGTATCCCTGGTCCTTTCAGTGATATGGATGTTAGAAAAATTCACTGTCCTGAAAGTAGGAAAAACAGTAGTTATAATAAGAATGGGAGCCAGATACTCTGCTGGGACTTGAAATAAAACAGCGTTGATGGTTCTCAGAAATGTGCAAGGACCTAGTAGACAGTCACGTTTATGGCTTCACTGTGAGATGATTTCCACAGCTTCAGACAAAACAAACAAGCCTATTTACTGAGGGGGGAGGGCGGGTTAGGGTATGTAGGTGGATTGAGTTTCAGAGTGAGGGGGCAGTTAGGTTTTAGGTGCCACAGGAGGACAGGAGATGTCACAAAAATAAAATTGGATGAGGGAAGCTCTATGCGAGCTCTTTTCTTTTCAGGGTAGAGAATAAACACGGGGTGGGAGGTTGCTGCCAGCCTCAGGGAGGCCGACTGGAAACTGCAGACCATCTGAGCTACTTAAGTTAAAGTTGTGCAATTGCTGTTTATTAAAGCAAGACTTTGCTGGGTCTTAGGAATCTAATATTCTTCAACCCTTCTTTGGGTATATGCCTTCATGTCTATAGCATCTATCTGTTTTGGTGGGGGGAAGAATTATGTCAAACCGTAATCAGGCTTGTTTGCAGAGACTCAGTGGCTCCTCTTCTGCTTGCTCTCCCCCAGGGACGTGAGCAGCCTCCCCGCGCCTGCGGACGTTCCCTGCCCCAGCCTCCCCGCTGGGCCTGCCGCCACTGAAGATCAAGGTGAGGCCTGTGGTTCCTGGTCCTGCTCAGGGTCCATGCCGCCCTGCTGACCGGGGAGCTTGAGGGCGGATGGAGCTGGTCTGGGGGTAAGGTGGGGCAAGGCCCCCGCCTTGGGCTCCTGAGCATCTCTGCCCTCCATCCTGGCATCCCCAGGGCCTCCTTCCTGGGGGAGCAAGGCGCAGGCGGCCTGTGGCCCCAGAGCGGGGGTGGGAGCCCCTGGACGGGGTCTGCCTCTGCCTTTAGTTCCCCTTCTCATCTGAGACGGCAGAAAAGCAGGGAGCAGACCCAGGGTCCAGTGCCTCCATTGGCCACATCGAACACACCCATGTCTTTGCCCTGCACGAGCCGAGGCCGTGTGCCGGCTCTGCGGCCCCTCTGAGCAGGGACGGGGGTGGGGGACAGGTGGGGACAGTGACTGGGGCGTGGACCTGGGGCTGGTGGGAAGGAAGCTGCTCCGCCCAGGGCCTGTCCCGGAGGCCTCCCCTCTCTTCTTCCTCCCGTCTCCTTCCTTCCCTTCTCGTTCCTCTGTCTTATGTTTCCTGCTTTCTCCTTGGGCCTCCGTCCTGCCTCGCCAGGCCCCGGCTGCGAGGGCAACTGTTGCCTCAGGGGCAACTGTCTCCCTCTTGCTTTTGCTTGCGTTCCTGGTGCAAGTTAAAGGCTGCTCGGCACAGTGGAGCGCGTTAACTTTGAATGCAAGAGGTGGCTCTGGAGCGCGTTAACTTTGAATGCAGGAGGCGGCTCCGGAGCGCATTAACTTTGAATGCTGGAGGCGGCTCCGGAGCGGGTTAACTTTGAATGCAGGAGGCGGCTCCGTGCAGCTTTATGGTTACGTTTTGGAGTTGCTGTCCGATTATCACCAGAAATAAGTTATTTGTGAGTCCAATAAAAATAAGTGTTTTTTTTCCATTTATTTTTATTAGTTGGAGGCTAATTACTTTACAGTATTGTAGTGCTTTTTGCCATACATTGACATGAATCAGCCATGGATTTACATGTATTCCCCATCCCGGTCCCCCCTCCCACCTCCCTCTCCACCCGATCCCTCTGGGTCTTCCCAGTGCACCAGGCCCGAGCACTTGGCTCATGCATCCAGCCTGGGCTGGTGATCTGTTTCACCCTAGATAATATACATGTTTCAATGCTGTTCTCTTGAAACATCCCACCCTCGCCTTCTCCCACAGAGTCCAAAAGTCTGTTCTGTACATCTGTGTCTCTTTTTCTGTTTTGCATATAGGGTTATCGTTACCATCTTTCTAAATTCCATATATATGTGTTAGTATGCTGTAACGTTCTTTATCTTTCTGGCTTACTTCACTCGGTATAATGGGCTCCAGTTTCATCCATCTCATTAGAACTGATTCAAATGAATTCTTTTTAATGGCTGAGTAATATTTCATGGTGTATATGTACCACAGCTTCCTCATCCATTCGTCTGCTGATGGGCATCTAGGTTGCTTCCATGTCCTGGCTATTATAAACAGTGCTGCGATGAACATTGGGGTGCACTTGTCTCTTTCAGATCTGGTTTCCTCGGTGTGTATGCCCAGAAGTGGGATTGCTGGGTCATATGGCAGTTCTATTTCCAGTTTTATAAGGAATCTCCACACTGTTCTCCATAGCGGCTGTACTAGTTTGCGTTCCCACCAACAGTGTAAGAGGGTTCCTTTTTCTCCACACCCTCTCCAGCATTTATTGCTTGTAGACTTTTGGATAGCAGCCATCATGACTGGTGTGTAATGGTACCTCATTGTGGTTTTGATTTGCATTTCTCTGATAATGAGTGATGTTGAGCATCTTTTCATGTGTTTGTTAGCCATCTGTATGTCTTCTTTGAAGAAATGTCTGTTTAGTTCTTTGGCCCATTTTTTGATTGGGTCATTTGTTTTTCTGGAATTGAGCTGCAGGAGTTACTTGTGTATTTTTGAGATTAATCCTTTGTTGCTTCGTTTGCTATTATTTTCTCCCATTCTGAAGGCTGTCTTTTCACCTTGCTTATAGTTTCCTTTGTTGTGCAAAAGCTTTTAAGTTTCATTAGGTCCCATTTGTTTATTTTTGCTTTTATTTCCAATATTCTGGGAGGTGGGTCATAGAGGATCCTGCTGTGATTTTTTTTTTTCATTTATTTTTACCTGCTGTGATTTATGTCGGAGAGTGTTTTGCCTATGTTCTCCTCTAGGAGTTTTATAGTTTCAGGTCTTATATTTAGAGCTTTAATCCATTTTGAGTTTATTTTTATGTATGGTGTTAGAAAGTGTTCTAGTTGCATTCTTTTACAAGTGGTTGACCAGTTGTCCCAGCACCACTTGTTAAAGAGGTTGTCTTTTTTCCATTGTATATCCTTACCTCCTTTGGTCGAAGATAAGGTGTCCATAGGTACATGGATTTATCTCAGGGCTTTCTATTTTGTTCCATTGATCTATATTTCTGTCTTTTTGCCAGTACCACACTGGCAAATGACTGTGGCTTTGTAGTAGAGCCTGAAGTCAGGCAGGTTGATTCCTCCAGTTCTATTCTTCTTTCTCAAGATTGCTTTGGCTATTCGAGGTTTTTTTATTTCCATACAAATTGTGAAATTATTCGTTCTAGTTCTGTGAAAAATATCGTTGGTAGTTTGATAGGGATTGCATTGAATCTGTAGATCGCTTTGGGTAGTATAGCCATTTTGACAATATTGATTCTTCCAATCCATGAACACGGTATATTTCTCCATCTGTTTGTGTCCTCTTTGATTTCTTTCATCAGTGTTTTATAGTTTTCTATGTATAGGTCTTTTGTTTCTTTAGGTAGATATACTCCTGAGTATTTTATTCTTTTTGTTGCAATGGTGAATGGTATCGTTTCCTTAATTTCTCTTTTCGTTTTCTCATTGTTAGTGTATAGGAATGCAAGGGATTTCTGTGTGTTAATTTTACATCCTGTGACTTTACTATATTCGTTGATTAGCTCTAGTAATTTTCTGGTAGAGTCTTTAGGGTTTTCTATTGTAGAGGATCATGTCATCTGCAAACAGCGAGAGTTTCACTTCTTCTTTTCCTATCTGGATTCCTTTTACTTCTTTTTCTGCTCTGATTGCTGTGTCCAACACTTCCAAAACTATGTTGAATAGTAGTGGTGAGAGTGGGCACCCTTGTCTTGTTCCTGATTTCAGGGGAAATGCTTTCAGTTTTTCACCATTGAGGGTGATGCTTGCTGTGGGTTTGTCATATATAGCTTTTATTATGTTGAGGTATGTTCCTTCTATTCCTGCTTTCTGGAGAGTTTTAATCATAAATGGATGTTGAATTTTATCAAAGGCTTTTTCTGCATCTATTGAGATAATCATATGGTTTTTATCTTTCAATTTGTTAATGTGGTGTATTACATTGATTGATTTGTGGATATTAAAGAATCCTTGCATTCCTGGGATAAAGCCCACTTGGTCATGATGTATGATTTTTTTAATATGTTGTTGGATTCTGTTTGCTAGAATTTTGTTAAGGATTTTTGCATCTATGTTCATCAGTGATATTGGCCTGTAGTTTTCTTTTTTTGTGGCATCTTTGTCTGGTTTTGAAATTAGGGTGATGTTGGCCTCATAGAATGAGTTTGGAAGTTTACCTTCTTCTGCAATTTTCTGGAAGAGTTTGAGTAAGATAGGTGTTAGCTCTTCTCTAAATTTTTGGTAGAATTCAGCTGTGAAGCCATGTGGTCCTGGGCTTTTAAAATAAGTGTTTTCAATGAGAAAAATACTGTTAAATTCGGTAATTCACTGAGACAAGATTTGGAAATGTTTAGGAGGTACCCCTTTTTTCTTTGAGGTGATAGAGGGGAGAGAGGACTTAGCTCATGATGTGGAAAAAGAAAACCTGCGTCAAAGCAGGTATACCCCCACGTTCTTGTGTTTCTGTCGTCAGCTGGAGAATCTTTTGTCATCTGCTTGTTGTGTGTGTGTTTCAAGTGCGTTTTTACCTCGTCTTTGTTAAAAATCTGAAATTTACCTTTGTTGTTGTTCAGTTGCTCAGTCGTGTCTGACTCTTTGTGACCCCACGGACTGCAGCACGCCAGGCTTCCCTGTCCATCACCATCTCTCGGAACTTGCTCAAACTCATGTCCATTGAGTCGGTGATGCCATCCAACCATCTCTTCTTCTGTCGTCCCTTTCTTCTCCTGCCCTCAAAAAATCTTTACCAGCATCAGGTCTTTTCCAGCGAATCAATTCTTTGCATCAAGTGGCCAAAGTATTGGAGCTTCAGCTTCAGCATCAGTCTTTCCAGTGAATATTTAGGGTTGATTTCCTTTAAGATAGACTGGCTTGATCTCCTTTCTCTCAGGAGTCTCTTTCTACTCTCAAGAGTCTCCTCCAGCACCAGTTTGAAAGCATCAGTTGTTCAACTCAGCCTTCTTTGTGGTCCAACTCTCACATCCATACACGACCACTGGAAAAACCATAGCTTTGACTAGATGGACCTTTGTCGGCAAAGTGATGTCTCTGCTTTTTAGTATGTTGTCTAGGTTGGTCATAACTTTCCTTCCAAGGAGCAAGCATCTTTTAATTTCATGGCTGCAGTCACCATCTGCAGTGATTTTGGAGCCCCCCAAAATAAAGTCAGCCACTGTTTCCACTGTTTCCCCATCTAGTTGCCATGAAGTGATGGGACCAGATGCCACGATCTTCGTTTTTTGACTGTTGAATTAATTTTGCCTGCTTTACGGTGGCCTGTTAAAACCCCTGTTTTGGCCCTAAGGTCCCTGCAGAAACCGCCCTTATCCACAGCCCTTGTCCGCAGGCCTGTCCCCATCCCCTTCTCCCGCCCCGCCCCTCGCCTCCCGTGCCCCGCTTCCCCACTGGGCCTTCTCCCCTCTGCTGCACGTGCCTCCAGACCACACGCGCGCTTTTGCCGGAGTTTTCCGGCTCCTTTGCCTGTGGCTGAGAGAGTGGAGAACAGCACACGCGAGTGACCGGCCCACAGCGGACCCCACCTCCCCACACCCACACTCAGCGCCTCTGCCCTGGCTTCTCTGCCGAGGCCTCCTGCTCGCTCGGGGCAGAGGGGCTGGTGGGGGCCTTCAGACGCTCTGCCTGCCCGCCCTCCACCCTCTGCTGCGGCCCATCTGTCTCCGTGCCGCTGCCAGGCTCTGTCCAGGCGGGCCGCCCCCCCTGCACAGCAGAAGCGCTGGGAGGTGCCCCCGGCCTGGCCGGAGTGCAGCAGCCTCTCTCCCGTGGCCTCCCTGGCCCGGCAGGCTCCGGGGAGCCGCTCAGAGCGGCCTCTGCCTGCTGACGAGCCTCCCGTCCGCCTTGAGGCCGTGGGCTGGCTGTGCGGTGATGCCTGTGTGTCTGGGCCCCGCCGCTGCTGTGTGCATGAGCCCCGCTCTGTCCTCGATCTCCACGCCCACCCTGCCTCTTCTGCTCGGGCTGTGACCTAGGGTCCTGGTGCAGTTCCCCTCCACTCCCCCGCTCTTCTGTTCGTCTGGGTCACGCTCCCCTGGCGGGCTGTCCCCCTCCAGCCCCGACGGCCCGCACGCCTGCGCCATCGGCCTGGACCCCCTCCCCCTGCCGTCTGTCCTTGGGGCCGTGGGCGTCGCTCCTCAGCCGGCTCCTCACGGCCGCCCGCGCGCTTCCGTGGTGCTCAGGCGGAAGTCTGGGGCTAGTCTTGACCTCTCGGCCTCTGCCTTTCACATAAACGCAGAGTCTGAGCGCGTCTCCTCAGCCACCGTTATTTCTCACGTGGGCACCACCACAGTCTCCTGGCAGGTCTCTGCTTCTGCCCTCACCTACCCTCACTATCTCGTCTTTTGTTTTTTTTGCAGGTGCAATTGACACATGCATTTTATTAGATTCTGGCATATGAGTAATGATTCAATGTATGTGTGTGCATGTGTGCTAAGTCACTTCAGCCGTGTCCATGGGGTTCTCCAGGCAAGCATAGTGGAGGGGGTGACCGTGCCTGCCTCCAGGTTTGAGTATACGTACATTTTGCCGAACGGTCACCACAGTGAGTCTGGTTAACATGAGTTGCCACCTCACCGTCTGTTTTTAGTACTGCAGCCAGAGGGTGGTGTTGGGCCTGCCTCGGATCGCGTCACCGTGGAGACGGGTGAGGGGTCTGCAGTGTTCACCTGCGCTCAGGTCTGCCTGCCGGGGTTCTATGGACGCTCCCAGAGGGCAGGAGGCTTGGGTCAGAGGCACAGGACGCTCAGCACAGCGAGCAGTCTGAGAGCCTCCAAAGCACACTTCTGCAGGTCCCCAGGCTTTGGGGAGGGATGCGGGGGGCGCCCAGGACCCATCAGCAGCTGCAGTGGTCTGTGGTTGTGCTACAGGAAGGGAGCCCCAAGCTTAGGAAACCTACGTGTTTTGGTTTTTAATAATAGGTAGGAGATGATGTCTTTATCACGTTGGATGAAGCAGACTTGCCCCTTGCTCTAGACTGAGACCCTCCCCACATCTCCCGAGCCTGTTCAGTGGCTGTCCTTGGAAACAGGTCAGAGTGTGGGTGGCCAGAGCACCCTCTCGGGGGCGTAGATAAACCTGAGACCCCAAGACAGTCTCACAGCAGCACGCACGCCCCTCGTTTCTGCTCAGTCCTGCCCGCTGGTCCGTTTGCTCATGAGTACGTGACTCTAGAAGCAGTTCTTGGTGAATTTGACTGACAGAAGGGGAACCAGATCTCCTCTGGTTCCAGCGGCTCTCACGAGGACTCGGGGCAGGATGCGTTGCCCTTCAGGACTGAGCACAGGGTCTGGGCCCAGCCGCCGAGCCGGCCCTAAAGCACCAGGGTGGCCCTCGGAGGCAGGCCTCATCCTTGAGGGACCCCCTGCTGGGACAGCCACCTGCTCTCCACTGGTGTTTCTTTAAGTGCTGGAGGGTCGCTGTGACCATCTTGAGCTGCATGTCTGCAGGTTGTCAGGCGGGTGATTACCACCAACTCCCCGAGGGCACACGGGCTGCCTGGAAAGTGAGTGTGTGTGCACAGGTTGGGCCCCCGCGGTGGACCTGCCTCCGCCAGGAGTACAGGCAGGCGGTGGCCCCGTGTGGCCAGCTGGCTGGTGAATCATTTGGTCCCTGGTGCGTTTCCAACAGCTGAGTCTAGTCTTCCCTTGTGGAGGCGCGGCCTGTGTGCAGATGGCCAGCTCGTGGTGCGGAAGGTGGCGGCCCGCGGAGGTCCTGGCAGGTGCTGGCTGGGAGGGGCAGAGGCCTCGGTCCCCGGACAAGTTTAGGAGACGGTTCAGACCCGCGTGCCGGGTGTCGGCTGACCTCGCAGGCAGGCCTTCCACAGCACGGGGGAGCTGAGCCGGGACAGGGCCCTCTCCGGGCCGAGGTGGGCTACCCCTCCTCTGCCACAGTAGCGTGTGTCTCGTCAGGGCGCCGTTGCCCCAGCTTCTTCCTCCTTCCTATTTGTCTCTGCTCCCCGGAACATCAGCCTGTGCACATCAGACCCTGGGACCCTGACAGGGCTTTGCAGGAAGCAGGCCCTCCATGCTGACGGAGTCACTTCCTTGACCTCGTTATCCACGGCGCCGGCGTGGCAGGCCCATGGGTGATATGGGGGCGCTTTCTGGGGGGCGAGGAGGTGCGCTGCCCCTGCAGAAAGGGGGGCTGAAAGGCCCGCTCTCTCCCACAGGTCTCTGTGCCCCGGGGGACCTGTGGCCTGCGCAGCCCGTGTGTGTGACTGGAGGCTTTGGCTGCACCCTGGAGAACGGTGGGCCGGCCGTGCTGCCCCCGCCCGCCCCCGTGCCCAGCAGGTACGTGCTCCCGCGGCCGGGGAATCAGCGCGCGCAGGGCTGGGAGCTGGTCCTCATGGCCGGGGACCAGCGCGTGGGGCTGGGAGCCGGTCCTCACGGCAGCCCTGCTGCGCCCTGGAGAGCAGCAGGCTGTGCTGTCCCTGCCCGCCCCCGTGCCCAGCAAGTACGTGCTCCTGCCCAGGATGGCGACGGCCAGGGACTGGTGCGCGGGACTGGGAGCTGGTCCTCACGGCAGCCCGGCCCCGGCTTCCTCCGCAGCCCCTCGCCGGGGTGTTGCCATCTGCCTTTCAGAGCCTCCAGAAATGGAGGGAAGCCTGGAAGAAAGAGAGCAATCCAGCCGGTGACCACATCCGTGCTTTCCTTTTTAAATGGAAGAGATGAACTGTTCATGTATTAGAGGCACAACTGGAAAAACAAAAACAGTCCCTCATAATTCCTCCTCACTAACAGAACAGGAATTTCTGTTTTCCACAGCATTAATCTTGAACACACTTAAAACTTTTAAAGATCGAATAGCCTGCATATTGAAAAATAGTTACACAATGGCCACGTCTTAGACTTGCCATTGGATTTATCTCTTGATGATGAGAACTTGAAAAAATGTTAATATCTGTGTTTATCAAAAAACATTTATCAAATGTTTTTATCCATTTGAGGTTTTTTAGGGGTTCCAGCTTATTACAAAGTCGTTGCTTTCTTATTTCTATAATGAAAATCCAGTGTGTGATTGGGATCAAAGCAGCCACCAAGGATCGCATTCTGTATGGTTGCGGTTCACGCGAGATGAGTGTGGGCCTGGCCCCGAGTGGAGGTGGTCGTTGGTGTGGGTGTGTGAGAGTCCCAGAGCGGTCCGGCCCACCAGCGGCATCCCGCCTCCACCGCTGACAGAGCCACAGCCGTGGGTCCTGCCCCTGGTTTCACTTCACAAACCTGGCTGGGCAGCTTTTTTTAGAATATAATAGCTATTAGTTAGAAGGGAGAGCAGTTTTCATTCAAGTATTAGTCCTGCTTACATGGGGCACACCTCACCAGGGGTGGGAACTTTTTGCAGTCTGCGTGAAAGTACTTCTCTGCAAACTGAAAGCCAGGTTTTGATCCATTCCTCTATCCATGCGTAATTTATTTGTTTTGTTTCATTTACTAAGAGCTCCCTTTCACCCAAATACTCGCTGTACTCAAGAGATCAAACTCCACCTCTGATTTTCTTTGGAATTACAATCAGTGTAAAACATTGTGTTAGTTGCAGGGATACAGCATGGTGATTTGATGTTTTTATACATTACAGAATGACCACCACATACAGACTTAGGTCAGTGTCTCTGACCAGAGCGTTTCAGTGTTGCTGACTGTATTCCCTATGCTGTCGTTAATTATGTCCCCTTTAAAGGAAGTGGGGATGGGCCTAGAGTCTGTCATGCAGAGTGAAGTAGGTCAGAGAAACACAGATGTATATTCACGCATACATATAGAATCTAGAACAGTGGTACAGATGAATCTGTTTGCAGGGCAGGAATAGAGACAGGTGTGAGAACAGACTTGGGGACCCAGCGAGGGAAGGAGAGCGTGGACGAACCGAGAGGGTAGCGCTGACGAACCGAGAGGGTAGCGCTGACATGTACACACACCCCGCTACGTGTGAAATCGGCAGGCAGAGAGAACCCGCTGGGCGGCCTCGGAGGCTCAGCTCGGTGCCCCGTGGTGACCGAGGGGTGGGCGGGGGTGTGGGGGGGAGCCCCCCGAGGGAAGGGGCGTGGAAGGTTCCCGTCATCGCACAGCAGAAGCTAACATGACGTTGTAAAGCACCTGTATTCCAGTAAGAGAAGGAAGGAAGGAAGGAGGAGTGTCTGGTCCGAGCCGTCCATCCTGCCGCACCATGTTGGTGCTGGTGAGCCTTGAGGTAGTCTTTGATTCCGTGACGATAAAGTGCTTCTTTTATTTTCCAAAACTGAAGAACTGGCAGTGATGAGGATGCTGGGCAGTAAGATCCTTTTCCTCTTTCTTTCCTTGCTCTGTCAACATCCTGTTTCTGAAACTAGACCCCTTGTTTTCTGTAGCAGTTTCATTGATTGGAACGCCACGTGTGAAGGCCAGTTTCCCAGTGTGTACTGCCCCCTGGAATTGAACGACTACAATGCCTTTCCAGAAGGTAAAGCTGTTCGGACAGTCCCAGTGACATCCTTCTATTCTCAGAAAGTCAAAGCCGAAAGGGTGTGTGCTTAAGGCATAGCTGCAGAGAAAGTGCCTTTGAGAGCCGTCTTCAGTTGTGCGCTGAGGCTTCATGTGGCTGCCGCACACTTGCCGTGTGTAATTTTATATGGCCTCAAAAAGCCTGCTAGACCCAGGGGTCTGGGGACACGTACAAATAACCCTACTCTATTTAGTCCTTCAGATTAGGTAGAACAGGATCTTTCGGACCTACATGAACCTGAGTTGTGCATTATCTGTCGGGAGGCTGGGTCTTTACTTCTTAGTTATTCTATTTAGGGAAACAAGTCCCAGGAGAGGTAGAATGATTTACGTGCTTGTTCCTCAGCATGTCCTGACTCTCATGTCCCTGGATAGTGCTGCAGGAGGAAGGGAAAGAGCATGGAGGGGAAGCTGACGGACTGCAGATGCTTGTGCTCACCTGTGTGGATGTACAGATGCTTGTCCTTCTCTGGGCTTTGATCCATGCAGTGCTCCATGGTAACCACCAGGGGGCGCTGTGGCAGCTTTCTTGCTGTGGTGAGGCTGTGTTTACGCCTTCTTACTGCCAGCTGAGAAATGCTTGGTTTCCTCCTGCTTTTATCAGTGCATGTGGTGTATGTGCAGATGGCCGACACTGGCATGACAGGCAGTCAGAGAAAAAGGGACTGGTAAGAACCATGACACTCTCAGTCTACAGTAGTATTTAGCACTATAAAGTATTACAGCGTACTCTGTGTATGACAGTCCCCCCAGATCATCACATACAGAAGATCAAGCCCAGAGGAAGAACTTCCTCACTGAGGGCTTACCAGGTGCTGTGTCTCACGGAGTAATTATTTCATGTCTGTGTTTAATTTGTCAACACAGTGAGTCCTTGAAAGCTTATGGCCTGAGGGTGAGAATTCCAGTCTCTCCTGAAAGACGCTCACCTCTGCTGATGTCTCTGCTCTTTGCAGAAAGCGTGAGCTATCCCAGCGGCTTCGCCTGTCCTGCTGAGGCTCAGACGGACTTCGCTGACCACAGCTCCCCGTCTGCCTGGGGCAGCCCCACCAGCGTACCGACCGCCTGGGGACACGCCAGTCTCATCAGCACTCCGGTCAGTGCCGCCCAGCCCTGGCGTCACGCGGGTTCTTCCCGGTGCCCCCGCCATCCCGGGCCTTCGGGCCGGGTTCAGAGGCGCCAGAGCCCGGCTTGCCTCCCTGGGTCACTAGCCACTCCTGCAGGGGCCTCCCAGGTAGTCAGATGGACGGGGGCCTGCAGACGTTGGCAGCCACGATGCCCTAAAATGCACCGGGGAGAGAGCGTTGTTGGTGACGCTGAACCTGGGCCAGGAAGCCCTCCGGGAGGCAGCTGGGGGCCTGTGGCCCCGCTGACCTTCCCCCTGTAGGAGGAGGGGAGATGAACCTTCCAGGAAGGTCAGGCAGGGCCACCCGCGGGTCTGGAGGGCTTCACCTGGTCATACCCTCTCCACCGTGTTTTTACAGATAAAGGCCATTAGACCTGAAATGAGCTTATCTAGTTGGATGGGAATTTCTTGACCTTCTGTTTGAGAAAAATGGAGTTAGGGAAACCAGGGTGGTTGAGAATAGTGTGGTAACATCCAGGCAACCTGGGTTGATTCCACTGTGGTAGCCACGAGGATGCAGTCAACCTTGACATTGCTTTCTAAGGCTTCTTTATTTCTTTAAATATTTCCTTTCCCCGCCCTCCTTGTGTATGCCTCAGCCCTACCTCACAAGCGCCCGAAGCTTGTCTCCAATGTCTGGACTTTTTGGTTCCATCTGGGCCCCGCAAAGCGATGTGTATGAGAATTGCTGCGCCATCAGCCCCACCACGGAACACTCGGCTCACCTGGAGAACCGGGCGGTCATGTGCAAGGAGTACTACCCCGGGTTTAACCCGTTCCGTGCCTACATGGACCTGGACATATGGACTAGCACAGCGAACAGGAATGCAGACTTCCCACTGTCGAGAGACTCGAGCTACTGTGGGAACATGTGAAAAGGTTTCGAGTCTAAATGTGAATAAAGAGGCTTGTGTTTGGATTACTAGCGTAAACTGGTTGTTGAAATAGATTGACGTTGGTGGATATTTTGGCACTTTTATATGAAAATAAATTTTTTTATGAAATCTGGGTGCTCTATTTTTTTAACCCTTCACAAATCGGTGATAGAGACAGCATCGTGACCCCAGAAACGCATCGACACGCCAACTGTTTACATCGGAGCCAGGACAGTGTCTAAGAAGGTAAGACTGGGGAGAGAAGGGGCTGCGGCGGGTCCACCTCCATGAGCATTGGCTCCCTGGGAGCTTGCAGAATGCCTCCTCGCTCGGGGAGCATTCCCAGGGATGCTTCCGTAATTGGCCCATGGCTCAGGTGGGGAGGATTTTGTTTCAGGTGCTGCTTTGATTGAAACAAGCCTCCAGTTTGGGGAACCTCACTGCTGTCACTTGCCTGGACAGACCGGTCCTGGTGGGCACGGCTGCTGGGTGGAGCAGAGCCCAGCGCTGTTCTGCTGACACTTGGCAGGGATGTTCCCTCACCTCCGTCAGGCCAGTCCCCACGGGCCGGCAGCAACAGGGGCATGCTAGTAAGCGTGTCAGGTTCCCTCCGAGTGAGCAGGCTGAGTCCACATGCAAGTTCTGAGCAGGTCATAGAGCTGGTGCGTGTTCACCAGGCCAGCGTGTATTTGCTTGTCAGTGATTTTAGAGATTCATGTGATGGTGGAATCATGTGATTGCATGTATAAACTTTGAAAGCTTTACAACTTTTAATAAAAATGGCTTATTTTTACATTTTGTTGTGTCTGTTGGAAATTGAGTGGGAGAGACTTTCGAGTGGGATGTCAGGTTCGCTTGCTTTTCCTTTCTCGTGGTCTCGTGGCGCCTGGGTGAGGAGGGTAAGAGGACTGTAATCTTGGACTGCCCTTCAGGGAGCACCTACTGGCATGCCTGGCTGCTGGGACGCGCTCAGGTTACTGACCCCGTCCTTAACACGGAATAATACTGAAAAGTCGTTTAGGTTCTAGGTGTACACCCAAAGGAATAGAAACAAACACTTGTGCACCGTGTTCGCTGAAGCCAACACTGTTCACAGTAGCCAGAAGGTGGCAACAACCTCAGCGTCCATCGATGGAAGACAGAGGAGCAAAACGTGTGTGCACAGTGGGGTACGAGTCAGCCTTCGGAGGGAAGGGAGTTCTGACACCTGCTGCCACACGGGTGAGCTCAAAAAATAGGCCAAGTGCAATAGCCGGTTACTAAGGGCCAGGAGTATGTGATTGCACTTTGATGAATTTAGTGTGGTCAGGGTTAGAGTCAGGAAGTGGAATAGAGGCTGCCAGGGGCTTGTGGGTGAGGGGAGTGGGCTGGTTGGGGGCCGGGCACCGGAGGTAGGTGCTGGCTTTGGGAGGCCTGGTACCCCATGTGCAGATAGCACGGGACTGTGGCCTCAAGAAATCTGAAGGTCGTGGGAGTTTGGGACTGGAGATAGTGGGGGTGTCCATCCTTGGCCTCCGGACAGTTCTAGAGGGGCCTCTTTGGGAGAAGGGACCAGAGCTCTGAGCCAAGACCCCTGTTTGGAAGAGGAAGCGGCGGCAGAGAAGACTGGGGAGAAGTTGCTGGGGAGGCGGTGGCCACGATGGCGCCGAGACAGGAAGGTGGTCAGACAAGGAGCCCGAGGGCTGGTCAGGCTGGGACCTGCCCGCTGCCCTCAGCCAGGCCGGCCGCAGCCAGCTGACGTGAGAGGCGAGGTGGCCGTGGAGAAGGCCCGCGGGGGGAGCTGAGTGTGCGTGTGCGGGGTGCCGGGGGCAGGGGCCGCTGGGCAGGAAGGGGGCAGGCAGGCCTGGGGATCACCCGCAGGCACCTGAGCCTTGACACGCAGGGCACTGCATCTCCCGGGGCGGGTGGGCAGTGCAGACCTGAGCAGGGTGGGTCAGTTACGAGAGAAGGGGCAGGATGCCCAGCTGTGGGTGGCACGTCACGGCCTGTGGACTGCTGTGTGGATCAAGCCGTCCTGGAGCAGAGCGACTCCGCACGCGTCTGCCCAGCAGCGCACAGCCTGAAATGCTCATCCCGCCCCTCACGGAACATTGGCTGGCCTTCGCTCTGGTAACAGGAGCTGCCGGCGAGCAGGAGCCTGGGCCTCTCAGTAGCAACACGTCTGCTTGTCCGGCTCCTGCCGTGTGGGTTTGCGTGGCAGCCTCGGAGCTGACACGGCCCTCCCCTCTCGTCCTGTTCACCATCTCTGGCGTAGCGTCCGAATCACAGGAGTGTGTGGAAAGGAGTGAGTGGAGGGACAGGTGTGAGCACGCTCATCTGGTAGCTAAAGAGGTGAGTCTTAATGATTCGAGAATAATTCCATTATTCTGTGGCTGACCACAAGCAAAGGCAAGAGAATTACCACAGTTCTTTATGTACTAAATGGACTTCCTTGCTTTTACATGCTCACCTCCATGTACAGAGCTCTTCATGGCAACTGTTTCTATGTTGAATAATACTACCACCTGGGAGACTTGTGGAACCCTAGAGTAAGCGGAGCAGCAGAGGAAGCCAGCCCTGCCTTCCAGGAGCTCTGATTTTAATGGGAGACTCACCAGCAAGCATCCCCTTTGGGACCAGACTTTGTGGGGTCTTAACTCCAGGTTTATCATATATTTAACTTTCTCGTTGTTAAGCCTGAGTAAACTCCAGGAGTTGGCAATGGACAGGGAGGCCCGGCATGTTGCAGTCCACGGGATCCCAAAGAGTCGGACACGACTGGGCAGCTGAACTGAACTGAACTAACTTTCCTGTGCCTCGGTTTCCTCTTTCTGTAACATGGGGATAACAATGGTAACATACTTCATAGAGTTGTGAGGATTAAGTGAAAGTCGCTCAGCCATGTTCCACTCTTTGCAACTTCATGGACTATACATGGAATTCTCCAGGCCAGAATACTGGAGTAGGTAGCCTTTCTCTTCTCCAGGGAATCTTCCCAACCCAGGGATTGAACCCAGGTCTCCTGCATTGTAGGCGGATTCTTTACCAGCTGAGCCACAAGGGAAGCCCAGGAATACTGGAGTGGGGAGCCTATTCTTTCTCCAGGGAAGGATCTTCCCGACCCAGGAATCGAACCGGGGTCTCCTTCATTGCAGGCGGATTCTTTACCAACTGAGCTATCAAGGAGGCCTGAGGATTAAATGAGTTGAGTGTTGAGATAGTGCTTGGCACATAGTAAATCCTCAGCTACCATTAGCGTCCAATATAATTACTATCATCAATTTAAATGAACACTAAACAACAGGATACATAGGAACTTAAATCTCAGGGTGAGTAGCGGCCAGGTGAGGCAGCCTTTATACATTGCTGATGAGATGGTAGCATGTTTGGCAATGTGTATTAAGTACCTTGAAAACTCTTCTAGGAATTGACTCTTAAGGAAAATAGTAAAAAAAAAAAAAAAAAAAAATGCATGCACAAAAAGGTATGAGTTTTCTGTTGTTGCTATAAAAAGTTCCCACAAACTTAGTGGCTTAAAAAAACATGAATGTATCATCTTACAGCTTTGTAGGTCAGAAGTCCAATACAAGTTCTGCTGGGCTAAAGTCAAGGTGTTGGCAAGGCGGAATTTCTTTAGGAATTACCACCTAGAGCAGGGTGGATGCTCCAGGGAAGAATCTGCTCCTTTCTTGACTTCCCCAGCCTTCAGAAGCAGCTTACATTTCTTGGCTCATGGCCCCCGTCTGCCTTCTTCAAAGCCAGCAATGTGGCCTCTCCCTCTGATACCATTGTTACATCTTTTTCTCTGACCACAGTTGGGAAAGGTTCTCTTCTTTCAAAGACCCGTGTGATTAGATTTGGTCCACCCAGAGAATCTCCCCACCTCAAGGTCCTTAACTTAATCATACCTTCAGAGTCACACATTTTCACCATTGCAGTCACATATTCAAAGCCTCCAGATTTAGGATGTGGACATCTCTGGGGCAGGGGCATTGTTCTGCCTGTGATCTATTAGTATTTTTGTTCCAGTGTTTAGAACAGTGCTGAGTTACAAATGAACACTCTACAACAGGAATATGTTTAAATTACAGTACATGCAGATGTTGGAATACGAGGACGCCTCTAAAATCACTGGAAGAGAATGAGATAGGCAGTGAAAGGTAGAATGCAGTTTCTGAGCAGAATGAGCCCGTCTGGATGTGGGGAGGAGGGGGCACCATCTGGTGGGCAGGATTGTGAGTGATTTTCATTTATTTTTTTGGTATTTCCTATTATAAGCATGTATTACTATTATTCCCCTTTCTCTAAAAACTTTTAATTAAATCTTAAGGGAATGTGTATTTTATTTAACCATGTTGAAAGTAAGTATGCTAAAAACAAATGCTAAAGTCAATAAAATTTACATTATGCTATAAAAGAACATAATTTAAAGGCAAAGGCAAAGAGAAACTTTCACTAAACATTCCCTAATAAAAATCCTATAAAATGAGGTATGTAGTAATTACTTGGGCTAGGATTAAAGGCACATAAGAATGTCTTTAAACACTCTATAGCCAACATACAAAATGTAATGCAGTCTAATTATAATTAGTTAAAATACAACTTAAAATACATATGTTTATGTAAACTCAAATTAACATTTCAAAATAATTATTTCTGTGTGACCCAGACATTTGCATAATTGAATACTCACACTGGAGTACTGAGAAGATGTCAGTAAAACAATGTATTTGTTATTTTGTATGCATAACGCATGTAGTGTATCAAAGGAAAGCTCTTTAGAAGCAAAACAAAAACTTTACCCGTCATTTCATCTCGACGGATGTTTATTTCAGTTGGGTGTTTATTTATTCACTGTAGATGAAGAACTTATTTACAACCTGTAAAAAATAGAAGGAACAGCAACAACAAAACTGGAAGGAACAGGCCAAGTGCCGCGATCTCAGGACCGTGTGGACAGCGACACTGACACGGCCGCTTGGTCTGTTTTCATCTGAAAAGCAAGTCCTGCCTCAAAGGAG